GGAGGGAGGGAGGGAGTCAGTGCGACCAGTGTCAGGTTTCCTCTGTTGAGACGGCAGTGAATGGCGTTGTGGGACGAGGCTGGAGCTGGGGCTGGGGCTGGGACAGACAAACCACGCAGAGTGAGTAAACCCATATGAATGAAACGCAACTCATGGAAGCTTCTTTATGCCGTCCGGTCTCTCTCTCTCTCTAACTCTTTCTCTCTCACACTCTCTCTCTCGCTCTGTGTGTGTTGTGCTGAGCTGAACCGACACGTTGCACTTGCCGTGTCCTACGCTGTTTTTACGCTCGAAATGACTGTGTCAAACACCATGTCGGGGGCACCTGATGCTCACTCCAGCTCAGGTGCTTGTTTCACATTCAATTGGGAGAGGAAAAGGCATCTTGCCAGAGGCCGAGTTAATATTCATTTGAAGAATGACAGTGGTCCAAAAGATTTATCAGGAGTGAAGATCACAGCTCCTATTCCTATTCCAGTGATATAGCCTTCAGTCCCAAAACGAGTGATAAATCACAGCTTTGTTTCCAAGCCTGATTATCATTTTCTTCTGCTTAACCTTCAGCTTCTCTGTGTCTTTCTTACAATCTGTCTCTCCCCCTCTCTCTCATTCTCTCGCTTTGCCTTTGCATCTCTAATAATCCCTTCAAAAAACTAAAATAATAATCCTTTGGTCACTCAATCCCACGACTGTTTGTGGGGAACGCTGCTGTGCGCAATTGGCTGCTGCGTTTCGCTCACAAAATACACAGTCACTACACTTTACAGAAGATTCTGCAAAGCGCTTTGAGATGTCTTGACAACGTGAATAAGGCGCTGTATCAAATGCAAGGATTATTATTTCCTCTTTTATCCCTCGCTTTTTATAATATATAATCATAATAATATAATAATAATCCTTTAGCACCGTATCACCTCGTTGAATCGGCTCAAAGTGCTTCACAGGATATACTGTAAAGTGTTGTGACTGTATATTTTGTAGGCTCTTCCCTCCATTCCTGTGTGAATATAGTAACACTCTGTGACTAGATATGAGGCTCTTGTGCATGTTAGACAACACTCTGGGTGGTATTTTAGCTGTTTGGTGTTATCTTGCTGAGTGGTTAGTGATTTTGCTCAACACTTTGGTCACACAATGGCTCCCTTCTGAAGGTTGGTCTGTGCCTATTTGGCCCAGTGTTATGGCTTGACCAGTTTGGTGACCTATTCTCGGCAGTGTTTCAGGGCAGGGTTTACTTACCTTACCTTAGGCAAGTTTCCTTACTACACACACACACGTACCTCTGTTTACTTAGTAGGAACCCGGCTGTTAGTCGAATGGCAGATCGCTTTTCCGAGAGTAACAATTGTTTTGAAATAAAATTTAAAAAATAATAATTTGGTCACTTCAGTCCGCGACGGTTTGTGGGACACTACTGTGCGCAATTGGCTGCCGTGCTTCACTTTACAGTATATTCTGTGAAGCGCTTTGAGGCGTCTCAACTATATGATAAGGTGCTATATCAAATGTAAGGATTATTATTGTTGCTATTATTAAACATCGAAATCCCCCAAATATAGTTTGGAATGGAATGCTCTCTCTCTCTCTCTCTCTCTCTCTCTCCCTGGAGAGACGCCCCCTGCTTAACTAATTCCGGAAAGTATTAGGCGCAGGTTGGCAAAGCCAAGGCTTGTTGTGGGGGAGACCAGAGTGTGCGTTGGGGTAACTGCTGGAGTCTATCCAGCTAAACCTATATAGCTTGGCCATTGATATCACTGTCTGGCCAAGCTTTCCCACTGCTTGTCCAGCCAGGACTTCCCTATCCTTTAGTTAGTTAGGGCTTTGGCTTGTGGGGTTAACAGGAGCTGAGGGGGAGGATTCCCAGGATAGCTAACCAGGCTGTGCAGAATGTTCAGAGGCTGCAATCCTAGGCTGTCGCTGCTAAAACAGCTGTCAGGAATTTAATTGTGTGGGTATCAGGATACAGAGGCTGATTTCTAGTGTTGGGATATTTTTTTCCCAGACGTTTCCGTCCGCCTATTTGCCCGTAGTTTTAAATATCGTTTCCTGCTCGTGTGATGAAGCTCAGGGGGACAGAATATCATGTGGACGGAAAGACAAGGGGGTGTGCGTGTCAGAAGATGCTCCAGTGCATTGCCGGGGGAGGGTGGGGCGAGGGAGGCGGGGAGAGAATGCCACATTATTGGAGACCCCGTCCTTCAATTGAGACACTTAAACCAGGTCTGTTCAGGTAGATGTTATGTTAAAGATCCCGCAGTTTCTATCGGAAAAGAGAAGAGAGTTTCCGCCCCAGTTTGGCCAACAATCCCTCTCCAGTTCAACAACAACATCAACAAATGAATTTACACGGAGCCTTTCACATCGAGAAGACGTCCCAAGCCTCAGGACAGTCAGGGATTAGGACCCAAGCTGGGAGTTGGGATCAGGAGAGGGTGGAGGGTGGGGGTAGGAGGGTGACTGAAGGCGCGGTCGAAGAGGAGGGTCTTCAAGACGGGCCTTGAAGGAGGCGAGGAAGGGGGCGAGGTGGAGGGACTGTGGGAATGGAGTTCCAAAGGATGGGGCCAGAGAGGTTGAAGGTCTGAGCGCCGATGGTGGCCAGAGCCCCTGAGCGGAGGGAGTGGACAGGTCTATACAGATTATTGAACTCTAATCCTCGTTCATTTGTTTAATGATTATTTACGGGACTTTGATGCCCACAAACTGTCTACCTAGGAATACACAGTCACTACACTGATCAGCGGTTTCCTTGTAAAAAGCCACACAGGATGTTTCGATGTTACAGGCGGCTGTTATCACATGTAGCGGGAGCTGGTTGTGTCAGCGTGGCTCTTTGTGAAAGGTCACCGTCTAAACCAAGTGCCAAGTAACACCGGATTTCCTGAGTTCAGGAAATATCGTGTGTAAATGCGACCCTGATTCCTTTCGTCTGTGAAATATGAGCCGTCGATCTGAAAAAGTGTAGCCGCGCATTCCTGCTGTCAACACTGCGACTGTGACACACCTAATGATAGCTCCTTCGACACTGTCCGTGCCCAGGAACAAGGCAGAGACGCAAACACAGGCCCATAGATAAACAACAATAATAATTTGGTCACTTCAATCCACGACTGTTTGTGGGGACGCTGCTGTGCGCAATTGGCTGCCGCGTTTCACCCACAAAGTGCACAGTTAATTCACTTTACAGTATATTCTGTGAAGCTCTATGGGACATCTCAATGATGTGATAAGGTGCTGTATCAAATGCAAGGATTATTATTGTCACTGCACTTCAGTGTGTCAGATCACTGCGTGCAGCGAGTTGAGACATTAGATGAGATGAGTTGCCAGATCAAAGGGATTTGAGCTGCCACACCAGCCCTGACACAATAAGTCCAGAGGCGAGGAATGAGATCAGCGTAAAGTGCTTCAGAAATGATTATAACAATAATAATACTCCTCGCAGTTGATAAAGCGCCTTACCACATCTTCAAGACGTCTCAAAGCGCTTCACAGAATATACAGTGAAGTGAATCGACTGTATATTTTGTGGGTGAAACGTGGCAGCCAATTGGCACAGCAGCGTCCCACAAACAGTCGTGGATTGAAGTGACCAATTATATTTTTTTGAAGGGATTATTACCCACAGAAAGGCCATCCGCCAATCGACTGACAACCGGGTTCCTACTGATTGCTGGTAAACAGAGGTGTGTGTGTGTGGTGTAAGGAAACTTGCCCAACCTGACCCGCCCGGGAATCGAACCCAGGTCCTCTCGCTTGCGAGGCGAAGGCTTTAACCACTGAGCCTCAGGACTCTTTAATGGGCCCCTTTTCTGTGCTGTAATGTACACAAGTGTTGGGTAACTCAGTGCTCAGGCCTTCTCTTGTCGAAAACAAAGTCAGTGAGGGAGAGACGGAGGGAGAGGGGGAAGGCGAGCGGGGGGCAGTGGGGAGGGTGGAGGGAGTGACTGAGTGGGAGAGGGAGTAAGTGAGTGGGCGGGCGGGAGGGAGAAGGGGAGGGAGGGAGAGCTGCTTTAAGGACCTCTCTCACAGGGCTGGCTGACCCTGCAGTGATATTGCAGGCTTCACGTCACTGATCCATCCCCGGTGTTGCTGCGTACAGCAGGTGCAGTGTAGTATTGATCTATCGTTTCACACAGTCTGCTCTGCTGTCTAACGCTCACACACAGGGAATAATAATCATAGCTGCATTTGACCCAGGGCTTCATCACGTCTTCAAGACGTCTCAAAGCGCTTCACAGGATACACTATAAAGTGTAGTGACTGTATATTTTGTGGACGAAACGCAGCAGCCAATTGCGCCCAGCAGTGTCCCCACAAACAGTCGTGGAGTAACCCAACCCTAACCCAAATTATTATTATTTATTTTTGAAGGGATTATTAACCCCCAGAAAACGAGATCCTCCAATCAACTAACAACCGGGTTCCTACTTACTGCTGGTAAACAGAGGCGTGTTTGTGGAGAAAGGAAATTTGCCCAATGTTTTGCCCTGACTTGGGAGCCGAGAGCTCTAACCACTGAGCTACAGGGCTGCGCATTACGATATATACACAATTTTTTGCGGGAAGGGATCATTACCTCCAGAAAGCCATCCGCCAAATTGACTAACGACCGGGTTCCTACTTACTGCTGGTAAATAGTCACTTGGACTAAGGAAATTTGCCTAAGGATTCAGCAAGCTGTGAGGATGTGAGTGTGTGTGTTTGTTTGTGTGTGTGTGAGATGCAGTGTGTGTGTGTGAGATGCAGTGTGTGTGTGTGAGATGCAGTGTGTGAGATGCAGTATGTGTGTGAGATGCAGTGTGTGTGTTTGTGTGTGAGATGTTGGGGGATGGGGTTGGAACGAGATTGACCAAAAAAAAAGGTGTTAGCCTGGATCAAGCTGGTCAGTGGATGACATCTGCTACCTCGAGACACTTCATCATATTGTGGTTGCGTTGCCAAGCTCCATGTGTGCCATGGACTTTTGGAGATTTACCACTCTCTCTCTCTCTTTCTCTCAGGCCGACGCCACTACCAGTTTCCTCAGAGCCGCACGATCTGGTAACTTGGACAAACTCCTGGACCAGCTGAAGGAAGGGGCGGACATCAACACGTGCAATCAGGTCAGTGCGTCACACACCCAGACCCTGCGACTGACTGATTAATGCTGCGCGTTTGGTACAGGGAGGGGCGCAGATAACACTGGGTGCAGTCACACGCAGGGCAGGGTACAGAGATACTCCCAATCAGGGAGCCACAGCTGTAATGGCTGGGGGAGGGGAGGCTGTTATATCAGAGGCAAATGGTGCCTGTTTACTGGGCAGTTTTGGATGGACTCGCACACAGTTACAGGGAGAACCGTCAACAGATCTTTTAATAGGGAGTTTTGGAGGAGCTTTTTTATAATGGTTCCTCAAGCATTGTTGGACGGTAATGAGATTTATTTAGGTTGAATTCTAAACGTTATAAAGCCCGGGTTGATGCGCAGGGAGAGAGCGTAACCTGCCCGGCTTAGCGCGGTGAACTGCACCTTAGTGCGTCTCAGAATCTGCCGATGTGAGATAATAGGAAGGCAAGTGTTCCCATTGCACCACCCACAGCTCTGCAAACGCTCTTGTCTCGTTTGGGTTCAATGCGGGTCCGTAAAGACCTGTCCACTCCCTCCACTCAGGGGCTCTGGCCACCATCGGTGCTCAGGTCTTCAACCTCCCTGCACCCCACCCTCTGGAACTCCATCCCACAGTCCCTTTCGCCTCGTTCTCTCCCTTGGCTCCCCCAAGGCCCGTCTCAAAACCTTCTTCAACCGGGCCTTCGGTCACCCCAACCTCCCCGCCCTCCACCCACCCCCTCCTGATCCCAACCCCCAGCTCGGGTTCAAATCGCTGACTGTCCAGCACCTTGGGATGTCCTCCCGACATGAAAGGCCTGTGAAATATAATGTGTGTTGCTGGAATGCGTGTGATCCTGTGCAGCACTGAGGAGCATCTCATTGGCACTCATTGGGTCTCATCAATCTACATGCCTCTCTCCTCTCTACACAGAATATACTGGGAAGTGGATTGACTGTATATGTTGTGCAAACCTGAACCAATCTATTTTGGTTGTAAGCTGCCCCCACTTAATTCAGCGAAGGTCGAGAGCATCAGATCATTTTTTAAGCTAATCAATAATTGTTTGAGAGCGCAGCCATTCAATGATTGAATTAGAATTCAGTCATTCTAAAGTTTACAGTTTGGCCAAAGGACGACAACTGCTCTGCTCAACCAACAACAACAAAAATTAAATTTGTAAAGTGCCTTTCACATCGGGAGGCCGTCCCAAGGCGCTGGACAGACAGAGTTTCGGACCCGAGCTGGGGGTCGGGTTTGGGAGGGTGGAGGGCAGGGGACGAGGGAGATCAAAGGCACGGTCGAAGAGGAGGGTCTTGAGGTGGGTCTTGAAGGTGGCGAGGGAGGGGTCGAGGGGGAGGGACTGTGGGATGGATTTCCAGAGCGTGGGGGCAGAGTGGCGGAAGGCCCACCCGCTAATAGTGGGGCGAGTGAGGCGGAGACGTGAAGCAGCCTGGAGCCCGCTGAGCAGAGGGAGCGGGCAGGATGGAAGGGGTTTAGGAGTCATAGAGGTAGGGGGTGAGCAAGACCATGGAGGGCTTTGAGGGCTTTGAAGGTGAGGACCAGTGAACTTGAACTGTATCCTGTGTGTGATGGGGAGCCAGTGGAGTCGGGCGAGCATGGGGCGATAGGGTCACGGAGCCGGGTGCGGGAGAGGATATGGGCTAATGTTGGATAATCTGCAGCCCGCGTTTAACTTGCGATCCAAGACAGTGTATGTACCTCAATATTATGCTTCCAGGCACCACCCCTCCCTGAGGTAGTATTGAGTACGGAATATCTGTTCCGTAGTGGTTAGACCACACGCCTCGCGAGAGGACCTGGGTTCGATTCCCGGGCGGGGTGAAACCTTAAGTCAATATTCACTTCACTGTTTATTCTGTTTTGATGCTTTGAGACGTCTAAAAGACATGAACAGTGCTATATTAAATGCAAGGATTATTATTATTATCTTCGCTTCTTAGGCATTTTTATCCTTTAAGATTAAGAAAATGTGCTATTGAACTCGTTAGCGTCCTTTGTTCACATATTTGCACACATATCCTTTTGGGAGGACGTCTTATTGGGAGGACTCGTGCTGGGAGAACTCCTTGTTGGAATCCATACGTGTATGATGAGCCTGTTTAGGTCACAATAGGAGACCCCCGAAAAAAAATATGCCCGTGACACTCCCCCTTGCAAGACCGTTCCGATGAGGTATAAATCACGTCTCTACGTTGATCGGTTATTGTGTTATTGGCAAACACACAGACAGGCAATTTGTCTTTATTGTTGTTGTTATTATGAATTCTCTGTGAGTTGCTCTGTGAGATGTTATAGGCACTGCATCAAACACAAGGATTGTTACAATGCCAGGCCTGGCATTGAGGCACTGGACTTAGCTGTGAGTCCCTCTGGAGCGAGAGAGCGTATTGCTTGTCCTGTTGTGTGCAGGCTGTGCTGTGTGCGTGTTTCATTACAGCTCTGACACACGTACCTCTTAGACACGTTGCAGCGATGCTCTATTTGATGCTTGTCTCTGGCAGTAGCTCGAGTTCAGTGAATTTTTATATTTTTATTTGAATACAGTCAGGGAATTGGACCCGTGCTGGGGCTTGGGATCAGGAGGAGGTGGAGGGCGGGGAGGGTGGGGGTAGGTGGGTGACCGAAGGCGCGGTCGAAGAGGAGGGTCTTGAGACGGCCCATGAATGAGGCAAGGGAGGGAAAGAGGCAAAGGGACTGTGGGATGGAGTCCCAAAGGGTGTGGCGGTGGGGGCAGAGAGCGTAAAGGCCTGTCCATCGATGGTGGGGTGGGCCAGGCAAAGGGCATGGAGCAGGCCGGAGCCCGCTGAGCAGAGGGAGCGGACTGATCTCTATGGAGTTAGCAGGTCACAGAGATAGGGAGGAGCAAAGGCCGTGGTTGGCATTCAAGGTACGGTCACCGTAATAGTAATAATAAAAATCCTCGCCTTTGATATGGCATCTCATCACCTCATTGAGACGTCTCAAAGAGCTTCACAGAACATATTGTGCAATGAATTGATTGTATATTTTGTGGACAAAACGCGGCAGCCAATTGCGCACAGCAGCGTCCCACAAACAGTCGTGGATTTTTTTTTGAGGGGATTATTAGCCAGTACACCTCAGGATTCCACAGTGTATAATATAATAATATTATTATTGCCTTTTGTGCTTGAGGAGGCAGTAAAGTGATTTATTTATTTATTTATTTGGGAGTCCTGTAGTTCAGCACTCGCCTCGCAAGCGAAAAGACCCGCTTCTGTTTACCCAAGAGTAAATTGGGACTCGCTTGTTAGTCGTGGGGATCGCTTTCCAGGGGAAATAATCCCTTGAAAATATCTTTTTTATATTATAATTGCTCACTCAGTCCACGACTGTTTGTGGGACGCTGCTGTGCGCAATTGGCTCCCACATTTCACCCTCAAAATATACAGTTAATTCTCTTTACAGTTTTTCCTGCAAATCGTTTTGAGATGTCTTGACAACATGATAAGGCGCTACATCAAATGCAAGGATTATTATTATATTTTTATTAATTATTATCAAAGTCGTGGGAGAAGAAGGCTTGGTTGGTGGCGGTGGGAGATGTGCGATAGGAAAAGAGAAAAGCACAGGCTGGAACTGATGAACTGTAGAGCTTCTGAACATAACCTCAGCCTTGCCTCCTGCCTCTCCTCGAGAACTTACAGAAATGTGGAACCCGTCACAAGGAACGCCAACTGATGCCAATCCCCGCCCGAGCCACAATCATCCAGACTAACCTGGCAGCAGGTTAGATGGTAAATTTTGGTCTAAGATCAGAGGAATATCAGACCCTTGAGAAAGGTCCAACCTCATATGTCCTGTATTGATTAAGGTGGGATGTATGTGGTCAGACCTATCCCAGAGGTCATGTATTCTTGCATGCCAGGACCCGAATGTGCCACCTGACTGTATCCCAGCATTGCCCTCACTGGGAATGACTCCATAGGGAATACACTCCTCCCGAGACAACAGCAACAACAACAAATTACATTTGTACAGCGCCTTCCATGTCAGGAGGCAGGATTGGATTCTCACAGGTCTCTCCTCTCGTCCCCTCGGGTCTTCAAGGGTGGCTCAGCAACCTTGTCTCGTCTCTCAACCCCCCCTCCCCTGCCGCCCGCAATGCCAAGGGAGCACATCACGTCCTGCCTCACCCCTCAGGAGTCCTGTAGTGTAATGGCTAGTGTGCTCGCCTCGCAAGCGAAAGGACACAGGTTCGATTCCCCAGACATCTCAAAGCGCACTTCACAGGAGATACCGTCAAGTGAATCGTGGAGTCCTGTAGCTACAACAACAAAATGACATTTCTAATAGCTCCTTTCACGTCGGAAGGACGTCCCAAGGTGCTTAGTGGCTCATAGGTCACTTGCCTCGCAAGCGAGAGACCTGGGATCGATTCCCGGGCAGAGCGAAATCTTTGGCAAGTCTCTTTACTCTAGGAACCCGGTTGTAAGTCGATTGGCAGATCACGTTTCCGTGGGTAATAATCCCTTTTTAAAAAAAATTGCTCACTCAGTCCACAGCTGTTTGTGGGACGCTGCTGTGTTCAATTGGCTGCCATGTTTCGCCCACAAAATATACAGTCGATTTACTTTACAGTGTATCCCGTGAAGACGTCTCGAAGACGTGATAAGGCACTGTCTGAAATGCAAGTGTTATTGTAATTGACTGTGTATTTTATGGGCGAAGCACAGCAGCACAAATTGCGCACAGCATTGAGAAGCCAGGAATATCAGGCTTATCGACGTATTCAGGCAGCAGGTGAGAGAGGTTGCGGAGAGAGGGACTTCAAGCTCAGCATCTGTGCATTGAAGGACACCCGTTTAATGGAGCCATCAGCTGGCTGTCGGGAGAGATTATTCTGCCACTTGTCCTCCTGCGTAAAGCCTACCCGTGGGGACACAGGGCTTCAGTAGCAGCCCGGCTGCTGTTCCTGACACCTTCACAAAACGCTGCGAGCACACACACACACCACACATCACACACACACACCAGACATCACTCACACACACACCACACATCACACACACACACCACACATCACACACACACCACACATCACACACACTCACACACCACACATCACACACACACCACACATCACACACACTCACACACCACACATCACACACACACACTCGCCACACAAACACACACCACACACACACCACACACACGCAGACAATACTGCACTGCCTTATGCTTTTTCAGCCCTTTCTGTCTTTTTTATCTCCTGTGACGTTTAAAGACATTGTTTTCCTGCGCGGCCAGGTAAACCGTTCAGCCCATCGTGTCGCTTCTCTGTTTCTTCTTAAATAATAATAATCCTTACGTTTGATACAGCGCCTGATCACGTCTTCGAGACGTCTCAAAGCGCTTCACGGATACACTGTAGAGTGAATTGACTGTGTATTTTGTGGGCGAAACGTGGCAGCCAATTGCGCACAGCAGCGTCCCCACAAACAGCCGTGGATTGAAGTGATCAAATAATTATTATATATATATTTTTTTTGAATGGATTATTACCCCCAGAAAAGTGATCCGCCAATCGACTAACAACTCCGGTTCATAACATAAACATAACATAACATGTAGGAGCAGGAGGAGGCCATTCGGCCCTTCGAGCCTCTGCCCCGCCATTCAATCATGACGTGAATAATCTAACTCCAACTAATAACCTAACCCTGCCTTATCCCCATAGCCCTTAATCCCTACTTAAGGTTCCTACTTATTTACCAGGGGAAATAGTTTCTCCGCAGCTGTCGTATCGAATCACTTGACCATCTTAAACACCTCACTCGATACAGTAATGAGAGGTTGACGGGGTGGGTGTTCTAGAAGGATGAGCTCAAATGGGCCAAAGAACCTTCTTAATCCGTACAAACTCACGCACAAATCACACCGCACACATCACACACATAAAACACACACAAAAAACACACACTACACACACAAATCACACACACACACACAACCTACACACACAAAACACACACATTACACACACACACATAAAACACACACACACCTCACACACCAAACACATACTATACACAGATACAAAAAATACACACACAAAACACGCAAACACAACACACATATAAACACACAAAACACGCAACCCTACACACAAAACACACACACAAAATACACACAACCTACACACACACAAAACTCACAAACTAACACAAAACACAGACACAATACATACACACAATGACAAAATTATAGTTGTAAAGGGTCTTTCAAGTCGGGAAGACGTCTCAAGGCGCTGAACAGTCCGGGATCAGGACCAGAGCGTGTGGGTGCAGGGTTAGGGTGAGGGAGGGCAGAGGGGGTAGGAGAGTAGCTGAAAGCCCGGCCGCCGATTGTAGGGGGGATCGGGCGGGAGACATAGAGCAGGTCAGAGTCTGCTGAGCGGAGGGAGCGGACGGGATCAGCAGGTCAGAGAGGCTGTGGAGGGCCTTCAAGTCGAGGGCGAGGATTTTAAACCTCTGTCCTCTGGGGGATGGGGAGCCAGTGGAGCCGGGCTGGCGAGGGTGGGGGCGATGGGGGTCAGGGAGCCTGGTGCGGGAGAGGACACAAGCTGCAGAGTTCTGGATGATCTGTAGCCTGTGGAGGGAAGAGTTGGGGGAGGCCGACAAGGAGGGAGTTTGCGTAGTTGAGCCTTGAAGTGACGAATGCGTGGATGAGGGTTTCGGCATCCTGAGGGGTGAGGCAGTGGCCTGAGGGGTGAGGCAGTGGCCTGAGGGGTGAGGCAGGGGCCTGAGGGGTGAGGCAGTTGCCTGAGGGGTGAGGCAGTGGCCTGAGGGGTGAGGCAGTGGCCTGGGGGGTGAGGCAGTGGCCTGAGGGGTGAGGCAGTGGCCTGAGGGGTGAGGCAGTGGCCTGAGGGGTGAGGCAGTGGCCTGAGGGGTGAGGCAGTGGCCTGAGGGGTGAGGCAGTGGCCTGAGGGGTGAGGCAGTGGCAGAGTCGGGCGACGTTGTGGAGGTGGGGGAAGGCAGAGCGGGTCATGGCACGTATTTGGGGTAGAAAGGACAGTTGAGGGTTGAACAAGACCCCAAGGGTCCGGACTGACTTAGCGAGAGGTGGAGTGTGTAACCATGGATAGTGACGCTGGAGGTGTGGAGGGGCTGACGGGGGCCAATCAGGAGAGCCTCGGTCTTGTTGACATTCAACTGAAGAAAGTTATTTCTCATCCAGGACTTGATGTCTGACAGACATTCTGTCAGCACAGCAGCGGGTCCTGGAGTCAAGGGCGGAGGCAGAGAGATAGAGTTGGGTGTCATCCACATACATGAGGAAGTTGACCCTATGTCTGCGGGTGATGTCACCAAGGGGGAGCACATAGATGTTGAAGAGGAGGGTGTGGTAAGAGAGGAAGGAACAAAGCTGGGAAGCAATGACTCTTTCAAGGACCTTCCAAAGAAAAGGGAGGTTGGAGATGGTTGAGGTTCTAACTAACGGCCGTTAGTTAGAAAACAGGGATAGGTCCAGGGAAGGTTTTTTCAGGATGGAGGTGCTGTTTTATAGCTGTTTTTAGGGGGGTGGGAACGGTGCCAGATGAAAGGGAGAGATTGATGGTGTTGGAGAGTAGAGGGGTGAGGAGGTGGAGCTGGGAGGTAAGGAGAGGGGTGGGGATGGGGTCAAGGGAGCAGGTGGTGGGTTTCATGCTGCATGTGGTGGTGATGAGAGAGGAGGGGGAGACAGGTTCGAAGAAGTGGAGGGAGGGATGGGTAGGGGTTGGAGCTTGGGTGGGAGAAGGGGAGGGAGTGGCAGTTGGAAGGGTGGAGGCAACACACACAAAACACACGTACACACAGGAGAGGCTGGAGAAGCTCGGATTATTCTCCTTCGAGCAGAAAATGTTAAGAGGAGACTTAATAGAAGTTTTCAAAACTATGAAGGGATTCAATAGAGTGGGTCGGTAACCCGAGGGCACCGATTTACAATAGTTGTTAAAAGAAACAAAGGGGAGATGAGGGGAAATGTTTCCACACAGCGAGTTGTTGGGATCTGGAATGCATTGTCTGAAAGGCTGGTGGGAACCGATTCGATAACAACTTTTAAGAGAGAAGTAAATAATTATTTGGGGAGAACAAGTTTGCTGGTCTATGGGGAGAGCGCGGGGGAGTGGGGTTGATCAGGGCTATGGGGAGAGAGCGGGGGAGTGGGGTTGATCAGGGCTATGGGGAGAGAGCGGGGGAGTGGGGTTGATCAGGGCTATGGGGAGAGTGTGGGGGGAGTGGGGTTGATTTAGAAGCTCTTTTCAAAGAGCCGACACAGACACGATGGGCCGAATGGCCTCCTTCTGTGCTGTATAATTCTATGATTCCATGACATGTGTTGCAGTTTGTCGGTGCCCTCTGCTGTGAAGGTTGGATCAGGCAGCTACAAAATACAACAGCCACGTTTCGCCCACATAATATACAGATAATTCAGAAAAACATAAGAATTGCTTCAAGGTCCATCCAGTTCGCCTTCCACCATCCTGGCAGTGGTTTGACATATCAGTGAACCCCAAACTTTATCCCGAGATACTATTTCCTGATAAGGAATCTACATAATTTGACACAAGCGACAAATTCTCTGTATCAAATGCAAGCGTCATTATTTATCATCACGTCGTTGAGACGTCTCAAACAGTGCTTGGCAGAATATAATGTAAGGTGAAGTGACTGTGTATGTTACACTGTTTGAGCCCTGGCGGAGGAGGAGGTGGTGTGTCTTACAGGAGTGTGGCTGCAGTTTCAGCTCCGAGTGGGGCTGTCATTCTGCCCGAGACTCTCTGAGCTGTGATGCAGTCTGACATCAACACTGACAGCCTAATGGCTTCAACATATTTAGCCAAGGACCTGGTGCCTGGGGAATGATCTGCACAGTACCAGACATTCCCCACCGTGTGCAGTGAGTACGAGCAGCCACTGAATTATCATACAATAATAATTATACTTGTGTTTGATGTAACGCTTTACAGTGCTGTGAGCAATTGGCTGCCGTGTTTTGCCCACAAAATGTACAATCAACTCACTTTACAGTGTATCCTGTGAAGCGCTTGGAGACGTCGCGAAGACTTGATAAGGCGCTGAATCAAATGCCAGGATTATTATTATTATTATTCATTTGATTGAGGTGTTTAAAAGTGATTCGATAGAGTAGTGACAGAGAAACTATTTCCTTTGGTAAGTAATTTGGAACCCGGTTGCTAGTCGATTGGCGGATCGCTTTTCTGGGAGATAATATAACCCCTTCAAAAAAAGCTAAATAAAAAATAATAATTTGGTCACTCCACCCACGAATGTTTGTGGGACGCTGCTGTGTGCAATTCCTGCAAAGTGTACGGTCAATTCACTTCACAGTATATCTTGTGAAGTGCTCTGAGACGTCTCGAAGATCTGATGAGGCGCTGTATCAAATGTGAGTATTATTATTATATATTATTGCTGATAGCTTGCCATCGATCCAGTCTCCAGCTGGTTCCTGCCTCTGTATTACGTACTGACTTGTTTCCCCTCTATCCTAATCGCCCCCTGTTTTTGGCCATTGACAGAATGGGCTCAACGGGTTACACTTGGCTTCCAAAGAGGGTCATGTCAAGCTGGTGTCAGAGCTACTGCACAATGGCATCATCCTCGAGACCGTCACCAAGGTGAGTTCCACCAGCAAGAGCACAACGACAACAACAACACGACATTTACACGGCGCCTTTCACGTCAGGAGGATGTCCCAAGGCGCTGGACAGTCAGGGATTTGGGCCCGAGCTGGGGGTTGTGATCAGGAAGCGCTGGAGGGCGGGGAGGTTAGGGGTCGGTGGGTGACCGAAGGAGCAGTTGGACAAAGAGGAGGGTTTTGAGATGCACCTTGAAGGAGGCGAGGGAGGGCGGCGAGGCGGAGGGGACTGTGGGACGGAGTTCTGAAGGGAGGGGGCAGACAGAGAGGGTTGGATGGTATGGGGAGTGGGGGTGCGAGGGTGGACGAAGGCACGGTCAAAGAAGAAGTAACAACAACAACAACAAGATTGCATTAATAGAGCGCCTTTCACGTCGGGAGGATGTCCCCAGGCGCTGGACAGTTGGGTCGGGACCCGAGCAGTGGGGAAATGGTCAGGGTGAGGGGAGGGAAGGGAGGGAGCGAGGAGGGGAGGGAAGGGAGGGAGCGAGGAGGGGAGGGAAGGGAAGGGAGGGAGCGAGGAGGGGGTAGAGAGTCGAGAAGGGAGCTGAAGGCACAGTTAAAGAGAAAAGTAAGACTGGGATGAAAACCAAAGTCACCGGGAACACGGTCAGGTCAGGCAGCATCTATGGAGAGAGGAATCCAGAGAGGTCGATGATCATTCATTAGAAACAACCCTGGGGGTAAACCGCGCTAACTGTCGCCCCCTTGTGTTACAGAAGGGGAACACGGCCCTGCACATCGCAGCCCTGGCTGGACAGGAGCAGGTGGTCAAGGAATTGGTCAACTATGGAGCAAACATTAACGCCCAGTCCCAGGTAATTACAGGCCAGCTTAGCGCCTCTCACGCCGGCAGGAAATGGCCACTCTGACCGTAAGAGCCACTGGTAATCAATTACTACTTGTATTTATTTGAGTGGCTTCGTAGAGTCCTGTAGCTCAGAGTTTAGAGCACCTCTGTTTATCCAGCAGTAAGTAGAACCCTGGTTTGTTAGACGATTAGTGGATCGCTTTTCCGGGGGAAGTAATCCCTTCCCCCCAAAAAATTTATAATAATAATTTGGTCAATCAATCCCGACTGTGTGTGGGACGTCGCTTTGCGCAATTGGCTGTGCACTTCATCCACAAACCACATATACTGTCAATGCAGTATTTTCTATGAGGCGCTTTGAGATGTCCCAACGCTGTGATAAGGTGCTGTGTCAAATGCATTGATTATTATTATTATTAGTTACATAACAACAACATGCATTTACACAGCCCCCTTCATGTGTTAAAGATGGCGCCTTGGAGCGATTAACACTGACGGAGCTTGACACTGGAGTCCTGTAGCTCAGTGGTTAGAGCACTCGCTTTGCAAGTGAGAGACCTGAGTTCAATTCCAGGCAGAGGGTGAAACCTTGGGCAAGTTTCCTTACTCCACACAGAGCCTAATAATAATCCCTCCAAAAAAACAAAACAATAATAAATTGGTCATTTTCAATCCATATGACTGTTTGTGGGACATTGCTGTGCGCAATTGGCTGCCGCGTTCGCCTACAAATATACAGTCAGTTCACTTTACAGTGTGTTCTGTGAAGCGCTTTGGGACGTCCTCCCGACGTGAAAAGCGCTATATCAAATACAAGGATTATTATTATTAATATAAGGAGAGAGAGGGGGGTGTGAAGAGGTGACCATAGGTGCGGTCAAAGAAGAAGGCCTTCAGTTGTGAACAGGGTTTGGGGCGTGGGATGGGGAGGGGGGTTGGTATCTGTGATATCTTTGTGTGTTTGTGTCTATGTGTGTGTTCATATGTGTGTGTGTGTGTGTGTGCGTACACGTTTTACCGGTTAGTGTTTGTGTGCGTGATGATAATAATTTAGTCACTCAATCCACGACTGTTTGTGGGGACGCTGCTGTGCGTAATTGGCTGCCGCCTTTCCACCCACAAAATGTACAGTCATTATACTTTACAGTGTATCCTGTGAAGCTCTTTGAGACGTCTCAAAGACGTAATCAGATGCTGGATCAAATGCAAGGATTATTATTATTATTATTATTATTTGCACTAACGCTATGTGGACGGATGATGTGTTTACAGAAAGGATTCACTCCCCTCTACATGGCTGCACAAGAGAATCACCTGGAGGTGGTAAAGTTTCTGCTGGAAAATGGCGGCAACCAGAATGTCGCGACAGAGGTGAGCACTGAGGCTAACCCGCCCCTCGCACCCTCTCCCTCAATCCCCCCGCCTTGCCTTCCCTCGCCTCAATCTCTCAATCCTTCCCCGTTTTCAGGTCGTGCCTTAAAACTTTCCTCTTCGATTCTGTCTACGGTCAGCTCCCCCCTCCCCCCCGGCTCAGCGTCAGGCTCCGCCATTGTTAAGACACTACCCTTTGTGGGGTCCTGTAGCTCAGTGGTTAGGCGCAATGCCTAACTCATCACTCTGAGTGGTGGGTTGGGCTTATGTATAAAGATGGAGTCCTGTGGCTCAGTGGTTAGAGCACTCGCTTTGCAAGTGAGAGACCTGAGTTCAATTCCAGGCAGAGGGCGAAACCTCGGGCAAGTTTCCTTACTCCACACAGAGCCTAATAATAATCCCTCCAAAAAACCCCAAAAATAATAAATTGGTCATTTTCAATCCACGACTGTTTGTGGGACATTGCTGTGCGCCATTGGCTGCCGCGTTCGCCCACAAATACACAGTCAATTCACTTTACAGTATATTCTGTGAAGCGCTTTGGGACGTCCTCCCGACGTGAAAAGCGCTATATCAAATGCAAGGATTATTATTATTATTGCCCCACTCTTATAGCACTGCACATTTTTCTTTTTCAAGTCCCTATCTAATTCCGTTTTGACTCTGCCCCCACCAGCCTTTCAGGCCGTGTGTTCCAGACCCTAACAGCTCTTTTGGTAAAATAAAAGTCTCTTCGTCCTCTCTGGTTATTTTGCCAATTCTCTGAAACCTGTGTCCCCGGGTTACCGACCCTCGCACCCGCAGAAGGAAACAGTTTCTCCTTATTGACTCTCGAATCTGCTTCCACCACCCGCTGTGGTGTGTGTTGGGTGTTGAGGCAGACGTGTTAGTGACGCTCTCTCTCTCTCTCTCTCCCTCTCCATCTCTGTCCCACTCCCTCCTTTCTCCCTCTCTCACTCCCTCTCTCTCCCCCTCTCTCTCTCTCTCTCTCGCTGCAGGATGGATTCACGCCCCTGGCGGTCGCGCTCCAACAAGGACACGAGAACGTGGTGGCCGCGCTCATCAACTACGGGATGAAGGGGAAAGTCTCGCTCCCGGCCCTGCACATCGCCGCTCGCAACGACGACACGCGAACAGCAGCCGTGCTGCTCCAGAACGACCCCAACCCTGACGTGCTGTCCAAGGTCAGCGCAGCCAAGAGAGAGAGAGAGAGAGGGGTGGGGGTGTGGGGAGGGCGGGCGCTGTGGTGGACGGGGGGGCTCAGGCTGTGTGACTCGAGGCGTAGTGGTTGAGAGAGAGTGACAGAGTTTCGGGGCGCAGCGACTGAAAGCTCAGCCTCCGATGGAGGAACGGAGGGTACGAGGGACAAGCAGGAGGCCGGTGATAGCCGAGCAGAGGCAGCGGGTAGTGGGTTGGGGAGTGAGCCGGTGGAAGAGGTCGGGAGGGAGGTGCCAGGGCGTAAAGGGATTTTAAGACGAGTGAGTGAGGATCTTGTCATTGATCTGTTTGGTGAGAGGGAGACAGTCACAGCTCCGCACGACACAACCCACTCCCATAGCCATTTAACACGCGTGTTCACGTGTAGTATCAGAATAAATCATGTACATGTGTGCATGTTTACACATGGGCCATGTAACGCAGGTGCAGTCACACTCAGACTCCCAGCACAGAGCACGTGGTCTAACGTGGGGGGGGTCCAACCTTTTCCCTGCCAGAAACATAACATACGGTTTAGGGAGCGAGTGGGCCAGATAAAATAGAGGGGTGGGGGGGCTGGATGTGGCCCCCAGGCCGCCAAGCGGACCACCCTGGTTTAGAATATCCAGGGTATGTGTATGCAGGATATACGTGGAGATCTTTAGCTCAGTGGTTAGAGCGCTCGCCTCGCAAGCGAGAGATCTGGGTTCGATTCCCGGGCAGCGTGAAACCTTAGGTAAGATTCCTTACTCCACACACACCTCTGTTTACTCAGTCAGTAGGAACCCGGTTGTTAGTTGATTGGCGGATCACTTTTCGGAGGGTAATAAACCCTTCAAAAAATAAGTAAATAAATACTAATTTAGTCACTCAATCCGTTGCTGTTTGTGGAACACTGCTGTGCGCAGTTGGCTGCCGTGTTTTGCCCATAATATAATAATAATCCTTGCATTTGATACAGAGCCTTATCACAGCTTCGAGATATCTCAAAGCGTTTCACAGAATATACTGTAGAGTGAATTGATTGTATGTTTTGTGACACAGTCATTACACTTTACAGTATATTCTGTGAAGCGCTTTGAGACGTAATAAGCGGCAACATCAAATGCAAGGATTGTTATTGAACATTATACGATGTGTGCGCTGTGTCTGTGTAACAAAAACACACAACAAATGACATTTACACAGTGCCTTCTACATCGGGAGGATGTCCCAAGGCACTGGACAAAGAACTGAGCTGCTTGTTGGGATCATGGAAGCTGACCGAAAGCCCGGTCAAAAACGACAGTCTTGAGGTGGAAGGAAGCGAGAGAGGGAGGGAGGGAGGGAGGGATTGAGGGTGGGAGGGAGGGAGGGAGGGAGTTCCAAAGGGATGTGTGTGAGAGGGTGTATGTAACTCTCCCTGTAACCCTCTCTTTCTGTCTCAGACCGGATTCACTCCGCTCCACATCGCCGCTCACTACGAAAAGCTGAACGTGGCTCACATGTTGCTGACCAGAGGAGCCGACATCAATTTTACCCCCAAGGTGTGTGAGAGCAACAACAAACAACAACAACTTGCACTTATATAGCGCCCTCCACGCAGGGTGGCGTCTCAGAGCACTTTACAGTGCACTCCGTGAAGCGCTTTGAGACGTCTCGAAGATGTGATTATTACTTTTTATTATTTTATTATTATAATTATTATGTTACTATTGTTAATATTTACATTATTGTTTTATTATTTCATTATTAATTATTGTGATTGTTTTATTTTTTAATTATTATTATTATTTTTTATTATTATTATTATCCCTCTCTTTGGCCACAGAATGGAATCACTGCTCTCCACATTGCTGCCCGCAGAGGGAACACAATGATGGTCAGGTTACTGCTGGATCGTGGAGCTCAGATAGACGCACGGACCAAGGTGAGGAGTTGTAGAGTGGGGGCAGAGTAATGGCGTTAAACTCGCCAGCCTTGAAGACCGAAAGAGAGTGGGGCTGGTGGGGGTTAACGGGGGGACGAGATCGAGGGGTAAACACAAGGAGGGGAGTCACAAGACTCAGAACATTACCCGTCAGCTCTTTTGATCAGCTGCCATGTTTGTCCATGTGGTCAGTGCTTTCGCCTCACAAGCGAGAGGACCCGGGGTTCGTTTCCCCGGGCGGGTCAGGGCAAAATGTTGGGCAAGTTTCCTTACTCCACACACACACACACGCGCCTGTTTACCGGCAGTCAGTAGGAACCCGGTTGTTACTCAACTGACAGATCACTTTTCCGGGGGTAATAAATCCCTCCCCCCAAAAAATAATAATAATAAATTGGTCACTTCAACCCACGGCTGTTTGTGGGGGACGCTGCTGTGCGCAATTGTCTGCGCGTTTCGCCCATAAAATACAGTCACTACACTTTACAGTGTATTCTGTGAAGCGCTTTGAGACGTCTCATCGACGTGATAGGGCTCAGTATCAAATGCAAAGATTATTATTATCACTATTATGTGACACAGGGAATCTCCCACTCAGCTCCTGTTAACCCTATACAGCCCGGCTCATTGGGTAAACATTCTCGTCTCTGAGCCACAGGGTTGTGGGTTCGAGCTGAGTCTCTATGTCGGGGACTTTGAGTTCATAGTCCAACCTCCGCTCGAACCCCGTATTGGGCTGAGCGGACGACGGACAGGGAGGGAAGGAGGGATGGAGAGAGAGAGAGGGGGGCGCGGGGGGACAAAGCAGCAGATAGATAGATATTTGTCAGGTCAGAGCATCAAGAGATATATGGCAAAGGCAGGTAATTGGAGTTGAGGTACAGGTCAGTCGTGATCTAATAGAATAGTGGAGCAGACTCGAGGGGCTGAATGGCCTCCTCCTTCCTATGTTTCGATGTAGATACTGTCACGGTCCCTCTGGTAGGCTCCACACTGACCTCACTGTGTGTGTGTGTGACTGTATGTCTGCATATGTCGGTGTTGTCTGTCTGTCTGTCTGTCTGTCTGTCTGTCTGTCTGTCTGTCTGTCTGTCTGTCTGTCTGTCTGTCTGTCTGTCTGTCTGTCTGTCTGTGTGTGTTGTGTGTGTGGTGTATGTGCATGCGTCACTGGGGTTGTGTGTGTGTCACTCACTGTGTGTGTGCGTCACTCTGTGTGTGTGTGTCACTGTATGTGCATCACTGTGTTTGTGGTGTGTGTGTGTATCACTGTGTGGTGTGTGTGATGTGTGTGCATTACTATGTGGTGTGTGTGTCACTTTGTGTGTGCGGTGTGTGTGTCACTGTGTGGTGTATATGTCACTGTGTGGTGTGTGTGTGTCACTGTGTGTGTGTGTGTGTGGTGTGTCACTGTGTGGTCTGTCACTGTGAGTGTGTATCACTGTGGTGTGTGTGTGTGTGGTGTGTGTGTGGTGTGTGTGTGGTGCGCGTGTGTCACTGTGTGGTGTGTGTGTGTGTGTCACTGTGTGGTGTGTGCGTGGTGTGTGTGTGTGGTGTGTGTGTGTCACTGTGTGGTGTGTGTCACTTTGTGTGTGTGGTGTGTGTGTGGTGTGTGTGTGTCACTGTATGTGGTGTGTGGTGTGGTGTGCGTGTGTCACTGTATGTGGTGTGTGTGGTGTGCGTGTGTCACTGTATGTGGTGTGTGTGTGGTGTGCGTGTGTCACTGTATGTGGTGTGTGGTGTGCGTGTGTCACTGTATGTGGTGTGTGGTGTGGTGTGCGTGTGTCACTGTATGTGGTGTGTGGTGTGGTGTGCGTGTGTCACTGTATGTGGTGTGTGGTGTGGTGTGCGTGTGTCACTGTATGTGGTGTGTGTGTGGTGTGCGTGTGTCACTGTATGTGGTGTGTGTGTGGTGTGCGTGTGTCACTGTATGTGGTGTGTGGTGTGCGTGTGTCACTGTATGTGGTGTGTGGTGTGGTGTGCGTGTGTCACTGTATGTGGTGTGTGGTGTGGTGTGCGTGTGTCACTGTATGTGGTGTGTGGTGTGGTGTGCGTGTGTCACTGTATGTGTGTGTTTTCAGGATGAGTTGACGCCGCTACACTGTGCAGCCAGAAACGGCCACGTACGGATCATGGAAATACTGTTAGACCGTGAGACGCCCATTCAGGCCAAAACTAAGGTGGGTCCCATCTCGTGTCCCCAGGCCTGGCTCCCGGCCCCCAAACACGTTCCGCTCAACACACTGAATAGTTTGAGGCTAATATCCTTAAGCAACTTACGCAAGTTTCCTCACTCCACACACACGCCTCTGTGTACCTCACAGTAAGTAGGAACCCGGTTGTTTGTCCATTGGCGGATCGTTTTTCCAGGGGGTTAATAATCCCTCCTCTACGACCGCGTCTTCAGCCACCCTCCTCCCCTTGCCCTCCCTGTCCTCCGCCCCCTCCCAATCCCAACCCCCGACTCAACAGGTCAGGCAGCATCTATAGAGAGAGGGGAAAGTGAGTTAACGTTTCAGGTCGATGACCTTTCGTCACTGCACTTTACAGTGTATCCTGTGAAGCACTTTGGGACATCTCGAAGACGTGATAAGGCGTGATATCAGATGCAAGGATTATTATTATTCAATTCCCGGCAGGTCAGGGCCAAACCTTGGGCAAGTTTCCTTACTCCACACAGAGCCTAATAATAATCCCTCCAAAACCCCCCAAAAAACAATAATAAATTGGTCATTTTCAATCTACGACTGTCTGTGGGACATTGCTGTGCGCAATTGGCTGCCGCGTTCGCCCACAAATATACAGTCAATTCACTTTACAGTGTGTTCTGTGAAGCGCTTTGGGACGTCCTCCCGACGTGAAAAACGCTATATCAAATGCGAGGATTATTATTATTATCATTAATGTTGTTGCTGTTGTTGTCTCCCCTGTTGCAGAACGGACTGTCCCCGATCCACATGGCAGCTCAGGGTGACCATCTGGACTGTGTGCGGTTGCTGCTCCAGTACAAGGCTGAGATCGACGACGTGACGCTGGACAATCTGACTCCACTCCACGTGGCTGCCCACTGCGGTCACCACAAAGTGGCCAAAGTCCTGCTGGACAAGGGAGCCAAGCCCAGCGCCCGGGCACTGGTCAGTCACACTGCTGCCCGCCTGATCCCCGGGAAACAAAATACACTCCCCTCTCCCCCCACCCGCCCCGACTGCTCACGTGTGGTTAGAATTTGAGGCTGGAATATTGGAAGCCTGTAGCGCAGTGAGTCCTGTAGTGAGTGTTATGTCAGTCAATCCAAGTCAAAGTTGGTGTGAGTGGCTTCTATATTTTGTCTTTCCCAACTCTCCATAAAGCCCCTCATCACCCACCCTTTACCCCACTCCGTCCTGGTGGCCGTCTATACTTCCTCTCATTGGCTCCTCGTCAATTGTCCATTTACTCCTGATTGAGTGTTCAACACAGAGTCCTCACCTCGCAAGCCAGAGGAACCCGGGTTCGATTTCGGACGGGTCAGGGACAAACCTTAGCCAAGTTTCCTTACTCCACACACACACACAAACACACAGGCAGACAGACACACACACCTCTGTTAATCTAACAGTAACTAGGAAACCGCTTGTTAGTCGATTGGTGAATCACTTTCCGGGGGCAATAATCCTTTTTTAAAAAAATTATTTGGTCGTTCAACCCACAACTGTTTGTGGGGACACTGCTGTGCGCCATTGGCTGCCGCATTTCGCTCACAAAATACACAGTCACTACACTTTACAGTGTATTCTGTGAAGAGCTTTGCGACGCTTCAAATACGTGATAAGGCGCTGTATCAAATGCATAGGATTATTATTATTATTATTAACTGGGAGAGCAGGCAGGTGGCTGAGTGGACTCCTGTCCTCGTGTTCCTAATGTTCTTGCAAATCACGGGAACAGGCGATACTGTGGGGAAGCTCCTGCCTCGATGGTCTGACTGTGATCAGAACCACCCCCCCAACACACACACACACACACGCACACACACACACACAACACAACACAGGACCTTTCATGTGGGGAGGACATCCCAAGGCCCATCTCAAGACCCTCCTCTTCAACCGCTGGACAGTCAGGGATTTGGGGGTTGTGATCAGGAGGGATGGAGGGCAGGGAGGGCAAGGAGGATGACCAAAGGTGCAGTCAGTGGAAAAAGAGGGTCTTGAGACGCGCCTTGAAGGAGGCAAGGGAGGAGGGAGCGAGTCGAGGGGATTGTGGGATGGAATCCCAAAGAGTGGGGTGAGGTAGAGAGGCTGAAGGCCCTCCACAGGATGAGCCCAGACTATACTGACCTCAGCTTATTAACTGCCTGGCCAGTCGCTGCTCTGTCTGATCTGTCTCTCTCTCTCTCTCTCTCTGTTTCTCTGTCTCTCTCTCTCCCACAGAATGGCTTCACTCCTCTGCACATCGCCTGCAAGAAAAACCACCTGAGGGTGATGGAGCTGCTCATGAAGAACGGGGCCTCGCTGGAGGCAGTGACCGAGGTAAGGGTGGCCGCGTGTGTGTAAACCATGACTGTTAGCCAGGGTGGTCCAACTGGTGGTCCAACTGGTGGACCATCCTGGCTAACGTGCAGTTCATCCAGCCCCCCCCGCCGCCCCCACCTCTATTTTATCTGGGCCACTCGCTCCCTAAAACGTATGTTATGTTTCTGGCAGAGAAACACAAAAATATTGCTGATGTGCCTGTGTAAGTTTCTCAAATAGAGCAGTTGGACACCACCCCCCTCCCCCTGTTTAGACCACGTGTTTTATGCTGAGAGTCTGTGTGTAACTGCACCTGCGTTAAATGGCTGTGGGAGTGGGTTGTGTTGTGCGGAGCTATTGTTGTCTCCCTCTCACCAAACGGATCGATGCCAAGACCCTCGCCACTTGTCTTCAAATCCCTTCACTCCCTGGCACCTCCCGACCTCTCCCACCTGCTCACCCCCCAACCCCATTACCCGCTGCCTCCGCTCGACCGGCTCCGGCCTCCTGCTTGTCCCTCGCGCCCTCCATTCCACCATCGGTGGCTGCGCTTTCAGCCGCTGCGCCCCGAAACTCTGTCACTCTCTCCCTCTATCCTCCGGCTCCCCCCTCTTTCCACATCCTCAGGTCGCGCCTGAAGACCAGTGCCTACAGTCACCTTCCCCTGACTCAGAGTCGTGCTCTGCCACTGTCCAGCGCTCTGGGACGCTGCCCTGCCTGAGGGGCGCTGTGTAAAATGCAAGTTGTTGCTGCTGAGTGAGACGCTCACACAGGCTGGTGGTTGTTTTTTCAGTCAGGGCTGACACCATTACATGTGGCCGCCTTCATGGGGAACCTCAACATTGTCACCAAATTACTGCAGCACGGAGCCTCCCCCAACGTCTCCAATGTGGTGAGTGAGGGAGCGAGGGACTGAGGGAGCGAGTGACAGAGGGAGGGGACTGAGGGAGCGACGGACTGAAGAGGGAGGGAGTGAGCGACGGAGGGATTTAGGGTGTGAGGGAGGGAGAGACTGAGTGAGGGAGGGAGGGAGGGAGGGGGAGAGTGAGAGAGCAAGGGAGGAGGGAGAGGGGAGTGGGAGAGAAGCACTGATTGAATGAGGGAGGGAGGGTGGGAATGAGGAATGAGTGAGGGAGGCACGGAGCGGGAGGAAAGGAAGTAGAGACACTGATACTGCTGTGCTGTGTATACACGAGAGTAAATGTCTGTCTGTGCAGATGTGTGGGCTCTGGCCTGCTCCCCGTCCCCCACACTGTCCACCCCACCATCGGCAGTCAGGCCTTCAGCCGCTCTGTCCCCACCCTTTGGAACCCCTCCCTCGCCTCCTTCAAGGTCCGTCTCAAGACCTTCCTCTTCGATCGTGCCTTCAGTCGCCCTCCTCCCCCCACCCTCCCTGCCCTCCACCCTCTCCTGATCCAAACCCCCAGCTCGGGTCCAAACTCCTGACTGTTCATCCAGCGCCTTGGACCGTCCTCCCGACGTGAAAGGCGCTGAAAACATGTAAGGAAACTTGGCTAAGGTTTCTCCCCACCCGGTTAGTAATGGAACCCGGATCCTCTCGCTTGTGAGGCGAGTGCATTAACTCTACGGGACTTCACATGTTTATCAGGAGGATTTCAGTGTGTTTTCTGCTTGTTTCTGGTGGCAGAAAGTGGAGACACCACTGCACATGGCAGCCAGGGCCGGGCAGACAGATGTGGCTCGTTTCCTCCTGCAGAACAAGGCTTCCGTAGACGCCAAAGCCAAAGTGAGTCGGAGATTCAGCTGAGCCAGGCCAGGCAGGCCGACCCAGGACACTATACACAACAACAACAATCACTTGGATTTATATAGTACCCTCCACGCCGGACGGCGTCTCAAAGCACTTCACAGTAACGGATCCCGGGGCTGAGCCGGGGGGAGGGGGAGGAAGATGACAAAGGTGCGATCGAAAAGAAAGGTCTTCAGCAGAGACCTGAAAATAGGAAGAGAGGGGACGAGGCGAAGGGAGTGAGGAAGGGAGTTCCAAGGCACGGCTGCCGATGGTGGAGGGAAGGACTCGGGGGCAAGGAGGAAGGCCCGGTGGAGCGAAGGCAACGGGCACTGTTTTGAGGAGAGAAGTCAGAGAGGTCGGGGGGTGCAGAGGAGTGGAGGGATTTCAAGACAAGGTGAGGATCTTGAAGTCGATCCTCTCTGGGACAGGAGCCAGTGCAGTCTGGCCAGGACTGGGGGGATCGGGTAATGGAGTTTGGTGCGGGTGAGAATGCGGGCGGCAGAGTTTTGCATGACCTGGATTTCATGGATGGTAGTGGAGGGGAGACCGGCGAGGAGGGCATTTTAATAGTCCAGCCGAGAGGTGACAAAGGCCTGTACCAGGGTTTCAGTGGTTTTCAGAGAGAGGTATTGGTGGAGACGGGCGTTGCGTCGGAGGTGGAAGAAGACGGTGTTGGTGAGGGACTGGATGTGGGGGAGGAAGGATAATTGGGGGGTAAAACCTGACGCCTAAGTTGCGTTAGGGGGAGGTCGTGCAGGTGGAGGAGGTGAGAACTGTGAGATTTTAGATGTTGACGAGAGCCAAAGAGTATGGCTTCCGTCTTGTCAACGTTCAGCTGAAGGAAATTCGCGCTCATCCGCTCCTGAGGTGAACATCAGTGGACTGTGGGGCGTAAAGAGAGGTGAAACAATAGAGTTGGGTGTCGTCCACGTATATGTGGAAGTGTACCCCATATCTGTGGATGACATCCCCAAGAGGGAGCATGTAGATCAGAAAGAGGAGGGGGCCAAGGATGGATCCTTGGGGTACCCCACAGGTGATCGGGTGAGAGCGGGTGGAGAAGCCGTTTGTGCAGATGTACAGTGGCGGTTTGTGAGGTAGGACTCGAACCGGGCGAGTGCAGTCCCACTGAGGTGGATGACGGAGGAAAGGCGGTGGAGGAAAATGTTGTGATCGACTGTGTCGAACGCGATGGAGAGGTCCAGGAGGACAAGGAGGCAGAGGGAGCCCTGGTCACAGATAGAGAGGACAGTGTTTGTGACTTTCACAGCGCAGTCTTTGTCCTGTGGGCGGAAACCGGACTGGAGGGGTTCGAAGAGGGAGTGGGAGGAGAGGTGTGCGCGAAGCTGTTTGGCAACAATGCGTTCTAGGACTTTTGCGAGGAAGGGCAGGTTAGAAATGGGCGGTAGGGGCTGGGGTTTGAGGGATCTAGGGAAGGTTTGTTCAGGAGGGGGGTGATGACAGCAGTTTTGAGGGGGGCAGGGACTGATCCGGAGGAGAGGGACTGGTTGATGACGTCAGAGGAGGGGGAGCTCGGTGGGCAGAGGAGGGGGAGCTCGGTGACCAGTGAGTTGGTGGGGAGGGGGTCAAGGCAACTGGTGGTGGGTTTCATGGAGGTGACGGTGGGTGAGAGGGAAGAGGGAGAGATGGGGAGGAAGGAATGTAGGATGGGGGTAGTGGTAGGAGCAGATGATATGTAGAGTGAGGGGGACAGAGAGGGCGTGGTGGTGGGTGACAAGGAGCAGGAGGATGAGGCTGCCTGGCGGATGTTATGTATGAAGATGAAAAGAAGTCCATGACCTCCTCGCACTTGGCATTTGATATGAAGATTGAGGGGCCTGAGGGGGGGCACAGAGGAGGTAGTGGGTGGTGGAAAAAAGGATTTTAGGGTTGTCACACCGACGTCACTTTGTGAATCGCGCCCCCACCGCCCCATCACTTACCTCCCCCCGCGCTCTCCTGACTCCTCTCCCCACACACAGAGGAGGGTGCTCAGGAGAGAGTTACCGGCTGGGCTATAAGCCCCATAAACACAAGGAATCACTAGACAAAAGCATATATATATATATATATAATAATAATCCTCACAATTGATACTGCGCCTTATCACGTCTTCGAAACGTCTCAAAGCGCTTCACAGGATACACTGTAAAGTGTAGTGACTGTATATTTTGTGGGTGAAACGCAGCAGCCAATTGCGCACAGCAGCGTCCCCACAAACAGCCGTGGGTTGAACGACCAAATTATGTTTTTTTTTAAAAGGGATTCTTATCCCCGGAAAAATGGTCCTCCAATTGACTAACAAGCGGGTTCCTACCGCTGGTAAATAGAGGAGTAAGGGGACACCTGCCTATGATTTCGCCCTGACCCGCCCTGAACACGGATCCTCTCGCTCGCGAGGCGAGTGCTCTAACCCCTGAGCTACTGTAAATCGAGATCAGTTATATATAGAATAACTGTCCTTTGTGCTGTTTCTCCGCACACCCCTCAACCCCCCCCCCACCACCCCCTAAACACACACAAACACACAGGACGACCAGACCTCCCTGCACTGTGCCGCTCGGTTGGGCCACATGGAGGTGGTTAGGATCCTGCTGGACAGCGGAGGGTCTCCTAACGCCAGCACCACATCCGGTCACACACCGCTCCACATCGCCACACGGGAGGGACACCTGGAGGTGGTGGAAGCGCTCCTGGACCACGGAGCTTTGCAATCATGCATGACAAAGGTACATCACACTCATCTTCAAACCCCTCCACACCCTGGCACCTCCCCTACCTCTCCCACCCACCTACCCCACTACCCACTACCTCTGCTCGGCTGGCTCTCTCTCTCTCTCTCTCTCTCTCTCTCACACACACTCTTTCTCTCTCTCTCTCTCTCGCAGAAAGGGTTCACTCCTCTCCACGTAACGGCAAAGTACGGCAAGTTACAAGTGGCAGAACTGCTCCTGCAACACGGAGCCCAGCCCAGCGCAGCGGGGAAGGTATCCCGCTCTCTCCATCCATCCATCCATCCCTTCTTCCCTCTGCACATCTGTATCTGTGCTGTCTGCTCCCTCCGCTCAGCGGGCTCCGACCTGCTTCACGCTCCCCGCCCGGTCTGCACCTCCATCGGCGGACAGGCTTTCAGCTTTTCAGCCCCAACTCTTTGGAACTCCATCCCACGTTCCCTTCGCCTCACTCCCTCACTCCCTCCCTCGCCTCGCCTCCTTCAAGACCCGTCTCAAGACTCTTCAACTGTGCCTTCCGTCACCCGCCTACCCCCACCCTCCACCCCCTCCTGATCCTAACCCGCAGCTCGGGTTCAAATCCTTGACTGTCCAGGGCCTTGGAACGTCCTCCTGATGTGAAAATCCTGCCACGGTCTTGCTCTCACCTTCCTCTGCAATCTCCTAACCATATCAGCCTGACTGTTCCCTGCGCTCAGCCGACACCAGCTGCTTCAGGTTCCCCCCCGCACTTCCCGCCTCACCATTGTCAGTCGGGCCTTCAGCATCTCTGCCCCCCCACACTCTGGAAATCTATCCCGCAATCCCTCCCCCTCGCCACCTCTCTTGCCTCCTCCAAGTCCAGTCTAAAGACCTTCCTCTTCGATCGTGCCATCGGCCACCCTCCCAACCCCCTGCCCTGCCCTCCACCCACTCCTGACCTCAACTCTCAGCTCGGATCCGAAACCCCTGACTGTCCAGTGACCTGGGATGTCCTCCCACCGTGAAGGGAGAGGGCACTCGCTAGACAAGCGTCATTTGTTGTTGTTGTTATGTCCACAGAGCGGCCTGACCCCTCTGCACGTGGCTGTGCACCACGATCACCACGACATCGTGAATCTCCTCTTGAGCCACAATGCTTCCCCTCACGCCACAGCCCGGGTACGTACCCCAACCCTCCCCCTCCCCCACCCCCCTTGAGTGGTGTGCGACTGGGAGGGGAGCACCACTGAGTTTAAAGAAGGAGGGGGTGGGGGGCGAGGGGGACATGGGAAGATAAAGGATTAGATGGAGAGGGGACTGGGAATGGCCGGGAGCACAAAGAGCGAGTTGGTGTTAAAGTGCTGTTGTGTTGCTTGGATAAACTCCAAACGCTCCCCGATCCCTGGCTTGCCTGTCGAGCTACGGTTGCCTACGTTGTCTTGATGTCCGTGTGTCATATCAACCTGTCCGCTCCCTCCATTCAGCAGGCTCCGGCCTGATTCACATCCCCCGCCCGGCCCACCATTGACAGTCAGACCTTCAGCCTCTCTGCCTCCACATTTTGGAACTCCATCGCACAGTCCCTCAGCCTCGCTCCCTCCCTCGACTCATTCAAGACTTATCTCAACACCCTCCTCTTCGACCGCGCCTTCAGTCACCCTCTTACCCCCACCCTCCCTGTCCTCCACCCGCTCCAGATCCCAACCCCCAGCTCGATCCAAATCCCTAACTGTCCAGTGCCTTGGGACGTCCGCCCGACATGAAAGGCGCTGCGTAAATGTTGTTTGTTATTGTTGTTTCTGTTGTTTTCTGAGCCTCCGGAATGACATCCCAAATGAATTTTTCTCCCCCTCCAGAACGGCTACACACCGCTACACATCGCAGCCAAGCAGAACCAGACGGAGATCGCGGAGAGCCTCCTTCAGCATGGAGCATCGGCCAACACCGAATCTTTCCAGGGGGTCAGCTCACTCCATCTGGCCTCCCAGGAGGGTCACACACACATGGTATCTCTCCTGATCGCCAACCAGGCCAACATCAGCCTGGCCAGCAAGGTACGTTAGGACATAAGAATTTGTTCAATGAAAGAAGACCAAATAAGGTCCATCTAGTTTGCCTTCCACCATCCTGGCCATCGCTTGACATGTCTTGTCCCAAGCTACATATTGTATCATAGAATCTTAGAATTATACAGCACAGAAGGAGGCCATTCGGCCCATCGTGTCTGTGCCGCTCTTTGACAAGAGCTTCCAAATCAACCCCACTCCCCCCCGCGCTCTCCCCATAGCCCTGATCAACCCCACTCCCCGCTCTCCCCATAGCCCTGGTCAACCACACTCCCCCACTCTCTCCCCATAGCCCCGATCAACCCCACTCCCCCGTTCTCTCCCCATAGCCCTGATCAACCCCACTCCCCCCTCTCCCCATGGCCCTGATCAACCCCACTCCCCCCTCTCTCCCCATGGCCCTGATCAACCCCACTCCCCCCTCTCTCCCCATGGCCCTGATCAACCCCGCTCTCTCCCCATAGTCCTGCAAACTTGTCCTCCCCATATATTTACTTCTCTCTTAAAAGTTGTTATGGAATCGGCTTCCCCCAGCCTTTCAGGCAATGTATTCCAGATCCCAACAACTCGCTGTGTGAAAACATTTCTCCTCATCTCCCTCTGTTTCTTTCAACAACTATTTTAAATCAGTGTGCTCGGGTTACCGACCCACCCACCAGTATCTTGAGATATTATTTTCTAGCAGAAATCGATCTCATTTGTTCTTGAAACAAATGACATTTTCTTCTTCTGCCGTCTGTCTCCCTCGGGAGCCTGTTCCATAAGTTTATTACTCTCTCACTGATGTAGTTTCTGCAGATTGGTTCTGGATTTACTCCCTTCAATCGCAGACCGTGTCCTCTGGTTCTTCTGTTCAGAACCTGTTCAGAATAATAATCCTGTTAAGGTGCATTCACTGCCACTGTCCAGTCCTGCGGCTCAGTGGTTAGAGCAATTGCCTCGCAAGTGAGGGTTTGATTCCTTCTTGGAAAGTGTGAAATATTCGGCAAGCTTCCTTACTCCACACATACACACACACGCGCGCGCGCGTGCCTCTGTTTACCTAGCGTAAAGTAGGAACTCGGTTGTTAGCCGATTGGCAGATCGCTTTCCAAGGATAATAACCCCTTCATTCAATCCACGACTGTTTGTGGAACGCTGCTGTGCATAATTGGCTGCTGCATTTCACCCACAAAATACACAGACAATCCACTTTACAGTACATCCTGCGAAGCGCTTTGAAATGTCTCAACAGGTGGTAAGGCACTGTATCAAATACAAGGATTATTATTATTTTTATAACTTGCTGCTTGCAAATTGGCCGCCCTGTTCACCCTCTAACTAACACGTTCACTACACTTGACAGCTTTGGCATTATAATAATAATTAATATTAATAATCGATAATAATAATCATCGCATTTGCTACAGCGCCTCATCACGTCTTCGAGACGTCTCAAAGCTTTTCATAGAATACACTGTAAAGTGAATTGACTGTATATTCTTGTGGGCGAAATCAGCAGCTATTTGCGCACAGCAGCGTCCTACAAACAGTCATGTATTGAGTGACCAAATTATTATTATTTTTTAATAACCCCTAGAAAAGTGATCCGCCAATTGACTAACAATGGGGTTCCTACTGACTGCTGGTAAACAGAGGTGTGTGTGGAGTAAAGAAACTTGCCCAACATTTTGTCCTGCCCGGGAATCAAACCCAGATCCTCTCGCTTGTCAGGCGAGTGCTCTAACCACTGAGCTCCACTGTAGATACTGTATTGAATGTGAGGACGATAATAATGGCTGTTTTCTCCTGCGACAGACTGGTCTAACCTCTCTCCACCTGGCGGCTCAGGAAGATCGTTTGTCTGTGGCTGAAATCCTCATTGAACACGGAGCCTCGACCGAATCTATCACAAGGGTAAAGTGTCCTCTCTCACCGTCTCTCTCTCCCGGTCTCTCTCTGTCTCTCTCTGTCTCTATATCTCTCTCTCTGTCTTTCTCTCTGTCCTTCTCAGTCTCTCTCTCTCTCTCTGTCTGTCTGTCTCTCTCTCTCCCTCTCCCTCTGATTGTCTCTCTGTCCCTGTCTCTGTCTGTCTCTCTCTTTCTGTCACTGACAACAACTTACATTTATTCTTCAAAATCCTCATCCTCGCCTTCAAAGCCCTCCAGGCTTTGCTCCTTCCTATCTCTGTGATCTACTAAGATCACATCAACCGTTTGGAACTCCATCCCATTTTCCCTTTGCTTCGCTCCCTCCTTCAAGGCCCATCTCAAGACCCTCCTCTTTGATTGCGCCTTCAGTCACCCTCCTACCCCTACCCTCCCCATCCTCCACCTCTCCTGATCTCAATGCCCGGCTCGGGTCCAAATCCCTGACTGTCCAGCGCCTTGGGACGTCCTCCCGACAGGAAAGGCACCGTATAAATGTCGTTTGTTGATGTTTTTGTTTTATGGGACAGTGTCTCGGGGCATTCAACAGTGGTGGAGCCTGACTACGAGCCGGGGAAGGGAGAAGATGGCCATAAAAACGGTTGAAGAGGAAGGTCTTCAGTTGTGATCTGAAAGAGGGGAGGGGGGGGAGAGGCAGAGGGATTGGGGGAGACAGTTCCAAAGCTTCGGGGCTGAAAGCAAGGCAGCTGTTGGTGGAGCAAAAGACACGAGGGGCAACCAGGAGGCCAGAGCCAGATTCAAGATCCTCATCCTCACCTACAAGGCCATTCACGGCCTCGCTCCCTCCTACCTCTCCGACCTACTATCCCCCTACCTACCTGCCCGTACCCTCCGTTCCTCTGGCTCCGGTCTGCTCCACATCCCCCGCCCCAACCGCCCTACCATCGGTGGCCTTCAGCCTCTCAGCCCCAAGGCTCTGGAACTCTATCCCCCAGTGCCTTCGCCACTTCTTCCCTTTCCTCCTTCAAGGCCGGTCTCAAGACCTTTCTCTTTGAACGTGCCTTCAGCTCCCCTCTCGATTCTGTACTCCCTCCTCGCTCCCTCCCTTCCCTCCCCTCACCCTGACCATTTCCCCTTTGCTCGGGTCCTGACCCAACTGTACTGCGCCTTGGGACGTCCTCCCGACGTGAAAGGCGCTCAATAAATGGAATCTTGTTGTTGTTGTTGTTGTAGTGGGTTGGGGGGTGAGCAGGTCGGAGAGGTAGGGAGGGAGGTGCCAGGGCGTGAAGGGATGTAAGATAAGTGCGCGGAGCTTGAAAGCCATCTATTCTGTGATAGGGAGCCAGTGGAGCCTGGCGAGGGCTGGGGTGATGTCCCTGACGTTAGTGTGTGTGTGTGTGTTACAGACAGGATACACCCCTCTCCACATGGCCTGTCACTACGGCAACATCAACATAGTGAAATTCCTGCTTCAACATGGCGCCAACGTCAACTGCAAAACCAAGGTACGTCAACACTACTGTGTCTGTGTATAGATCGCTCCCAGAGTACCGTCAACACACACACACAGAGTACCGTCAACACACACACACACAGAGTACAGTCAACTCACATACAGAATACAGTCAACAACAACGACGACTTGCACTTATGTAGCGCCCTCCGTGCCAGTCGGCTTCTCAGAGTTTAACAATGGTGGAGCCCGAGGCCGAGCCGGGGGGAGGGGGAAGGTGACCGTAAACACGGTCGAAACAGAAAGTCTTCAGGCGGGACCTGAAGATGGGGAAGGAACTCCCGAGGCGAGGCACGGCCGCCGATGGTGGAGCGGAGGATTTGGGGGAACGCAGAGAAGGCCGGACATAGTAGAGCGGAGGCAGCGGACACCGCTGTGGGGAGAGAGGGGGTTAGAGAGATGGGGTGGGGGAGGGAGGGGTCTGCCAAGGAATGGAGGGATTTAAACACTAGAGTGAGGGTCTTGAAATCGATCCGAACTGTGACGGAGCCAGTGGAGTTTGGCACAGTCAACACACACACGGTACAGTCAACACACACACGGTACAGTCAACACACACACAGTACAGTCAACGCGCACACGGAGTACAGTCAACACACACACGGTACAGTCAACACACACACAGTACAGTCAACACACACACACAGTACAGTCAACACATACACACAGTACAGTCAACACATACACACAGTACAGTCAACACACACACAGAGTACAGTCAACACACACAGTACAGTCAACACACACACACAGTACAGTCAACACACACACACAGTACAGTCAACACACACACAGAGTACAGTCAACACACACCCAGTACAGTCAACACACACACGGTACAGTCAACACACACACAGTACAGTCAACACACATACACAGTACAGTCAACACATACACACAGTACAGTCAACACACACACAGTACAGTCAACACACACACAGAGTACAGTCAACACACACAGTACAGTCAACACACACACACAGTACAGTCAACACACACACACAGTACAGTCAACACACACACACAGTGCAGTCAACACACACAGCGTACAGTCAACACACACAGTACAGTCAACACACACAGAACAGTCAAACACACACAGTACAGTCAACACACACACACATTACAGTCAACAACACACACAGTACAGTCAACACACATACAGAGCACAGTCAATACACACAGAGTACAGTCAACAGAGTACACTCAACACACACTGAGCTGAGGTGTAACCAGTCGCATTGTTGACGCGTTATCAGAGTGTTAATAAAGTTTATCTCTTTCTCTCTTGTCCCATCTCTCTCTCTTTGTCTCTCTCTGTCCCTCTCTCTCTCTTTCTTTCTCCCTCTTGTCCCATCTCTCTCTCTCTCTCTACAGATTGGATATACCCCCCTACACCAGGCAGCTCAGCAGGGACACACGGACATTGTCACTCTGCTCCTGAAACACGATGCCTCTCCCAATGAGATCACCATGGTAAGGTTACAGAGCAAGTATATCACAGGATATACTGTAAGGTGTAATGCCTGTATCTTTTGTGGGCGAAACGGATAGACATTTGTTAGGTCACCGGATCAAGGGATATGGGGCAAAGGGGGGGTTAATTGGAGCGGAGGTACAGATCAGCAATGATCTTATAGAATGGCGGACTAGGTTGCAGGGGCTGAATGGCCTCCTCCTGTTCCTATGTTCACAGAATAGATTGTAAAGTGAATTGACTGGGAATTAGATAGGTACTTACAAATGAAGAATTTGCAGGGCTATGGTGAGTGGGACTAGTTGGGGTAAGAGCAGGGGAGTGGGGTTAGTTGGGGTAAGAGCGGGCGAGTGGGACTAGTTGGGGTAAGAGCGGGGGAGTGGGGTTAGTTGGGGTAAGAGCGGGGGAGTGGGACTGGTTGGGGTAAGAGCGGGCGAGTGGGACTAGTTGGGGTAAGAGCGGGGGAGTGGGACGAGTTGGAGTAAGAGTGGGACCAATTGGTAGCTCTTTCAAAGAGCCGGCAAAGGCACGATGGGCCGAATGGCCTCCTTTTGTGCTGTAAGATTCTATGATTCTATGATAGTCTAAAGCCAGTGTCCTCAGGGCTCCTCGTGTCTGTTCAGCCTCTCAGTTTGCCCCTCAGTTACTGCTCTGGCCTCACCACCTCTGGGTACCATTTTGAAGCATCTTCCCCACATGAAAGGCTCCATATCAAATGAAAAGATTATTATTATTACAGTAAAACTCGCATCAGTCTAATCTGTATAAATTGTATACTCGTCCCAGTCCCGTTGAAGTTCGTATAACTTTCCTATAAAGTTTGACGTAATTCATACTTTGCATAAGTCATATTAAATGTATGGTTCAATTCTGATACGACTTATGTGACGTTTACGGTATTATCGTGGAGTCCCATGGGGTATTGGTGAGAGCAAGTGACCTGGGTTCGAATTCCGGGCAGGTCAAACCTTACTCCACACACACGCCTCTGTTTACCGGCAGTAAGTAGAAACCCGGTTGTTAGTCAATAGGTGGATCGCTTTCCGGGGGTAATAATCCCTCCATAAAGAATAAATAAATGGTTAATCAATCCACGACTGTGTGTGGGACAATGTTGTGCGCAATTGGCTGCTGCATTTCGCCCACAGAATGAGCTGTCACTACACTTTGTAGTATATTCTGTGAAGCGCTTTAAGATGTGATAAATCGCTGTGTCAAATGCAAGGATTATTATTATTATTATTTGCTTTATGTCATCTTTTCGGCGAAGTTCAGAATGACCCTCTGGTTTCTTCACCCCTTTCTCCCCATGCTCTCCCCCCTTCTCTCCCCCTTCTCCCCCCCTCTCCCCTTCTCCAACCCCTCTCCCTCTTTCTCTCCCCATCTCTTTCCCCCTCCTCTCCTCTCTCGCCCTACTCTACCCCTTCTCTCCCTCTCTCCCCCCTTCTCTCCTTCCTCTCCCCCTCTCCCCCACCTCTCTCCCCCTCCTCTTTGCCCCCCAGAACGGCAGCACTGCCCTAGCCATCGCCAAACGTCTGGGTTACATCTCAGTGACGGATGTGCTGAAGGCCGTGACTGATGAAACCATGAGCGTGGTGAGTGTTGGCGCGGGTCACTGTGTCAGAGGCTGATCTGATTGAAGGTGTTTAAAATAATAAAGTGGAAGGTTTGAGGGTTTCTCACGATGGCTAATCCTTCAATCGGAAATTCACTAAAATTGGAATTGGTGGGATTAAGAGAAATGAGGAGTTGTTATTATTAAAACGAGGATTAAGAGGTCAAATCCATTCACGCCCTGGCATCTCCCTCCCTCCTACCTCTCCGACCGGCTCACCCCCCACTCCACCACCCGCTGCCTCTGCTCGGCTGGCTCCGACCTCCTGTTTGTCCCCCGTCCCCTTCGCTCCACCATCGGTGGCCTTCGCCACTGCGCCCCGAAACTCTTGTCACTCCCTCCCTCAATCCCTCCGCCTCGCTCCCTCCCTCCCCACCTTCAAATCCCTTAAGACCTTCCTTTTTAATCATGTTTGCGGTCACCTCCCCCCTCCCTCTCCCCCTGGCTCGGGGTCAGACTCCGCAACTGTGAAGCACTCTGGGACACTACCCCAAGTGAAAGGCGCTGTGTAAATGCAAGTTGTTGTTGTTGAGAGTGGCGTTAATGCTGGTTCTTGTGTTCAACCTCACAGACCATCACCCAGAAACACAGGCTCAGTTTCCCCGAAACCGTGGACGAAATTCTGGACGTTTCAGAGGATGAAGGTGAGCGAGTGCCAGAGCCTCGGACCACACCCCCACTCCCACACCTCCGTGGACCCCCCAGGCGCCGACCAGCGTTGTGTTTGCGGAGTGCTCTCTCCGAACGTCCTCCCGACGTGAAAGGTGTCATTGTTGCCGCGCATTAGCAAACACACCCTAGTCAGAGACAGAGGCCCCCTCCACTCTCGCCCCCTCCCACCTGGTTGAAAACACCTGGTAAGCTATCTTCCTGGGGGGTTGGGGGGGGGGGGGAGGGAGGTAAGTGGGATCTCGTGGACCTGGAAGGATAGACCGGTCACTGGGGGCAGGGAATCCTCCCACTCAGCTCCTGTTAACCCTGCAGACTAAGCCCTTAGGTGTCAGGTGGTCCGGGCTGAACAAGCAGCGGGAATGCTGGCCAGACAGCGTAATCGATGGCAAACTATGTGGTTTTAGCTGGTTAGACTCCAGCAGTTACACCACCACACACTCTGGGCTCCCCCCAAGCCTTGGCTCTTGCCAACCTGTGCCTAACACTCTCCGGAATTAGGTAATCAGGATCCATCCCTCCAGGGAGAGAGAGAGAGAGAGAGAGAGCGCATTTCATTCCAACAATTGATTTTTCAGGTGTAAGTGGGATGTGGGGAATTCTCAGTTGGGTTTGAAGACTCTTAAGCAAAGGCGATGGGGGGAAATAAAAGAAAAAAGGTTCTCTGATTGTCTTTGGCGACGGTGTTAAATCTTACCTCTCTTACTTCCTAGGGACCCACAATATTCTAGGTATGAAACTGCTTGTTGGCTGTCAAATAACCATCTTTGTGGCAAATAGTGTATTTATCCCGAAGGGAGCAAAGTTCCCACATTTGAGCCTCCTCATACCTAAACCAAGAGCTTTTCCCTGTCCATCCCATGTGTCAGGTTCCATCCCCATCACAGCCTCACCCACCTGGACTGTACTCCCAGGGTTGGGGCTGCTGTTAAGTATCTGCTGTTTTCATGCTGGCTGTGGGTGGGTTGGGGCTGGTGTGGGGTTGGGTTGGGTGGGGATTGTTGTTAAGCAACTAATCGTGCTATTCCATCGCTTGCGTGTGAACATGTTGTGATGTTTATGTGGTTTAGTGGGTAGTTTGTGGCAAAGTGCGATCTATTTAACTGCTTTCCCCCCAACCTCCCCCCTCCCCCCTCCACTCTACCTCCCGCTGCCTCCGCTCGGTAGGCTCCAGCCTCCTGTTTGTCCCTCGTGCCCTCCTGCTCCACCATCCATCAGTGGCCGTGGCCTCAGCCACTACAGCCCCCAAACTCTGGAACTCTCTCCCGCAATCCCTCCGCCTCGCCCCCTCCCTCCCCACTTTCAGACTCCACCGCCGTCAAGCTCTACCCTGCGTGCAGGGCGCTGTGTAAATGCAAGTTGTTGCTGCTGTTGCTGATCCCCGACAGTTCAGCATCTCGGGACGTCCTCCCGACGTGAAAGGCGCTTTACAAATTCAATGTTGTTGTTGTGGAAACGCCACTTTAGTGAGCGAGTAGTGAACGTCAGGAACAGGCTGCCTCGGAGACAGGCGGCGGAAGCAGAAAGTCTTGATTCTTTCACGAACAAATCAGACGGATTCCTGTTAGGAAATGATATCTCGGGATACAGTAAATAGTTTGGGACACGACATGTGCAAGTGACTGCTGGGATAGAAACTTAGAGAAACAAGAGGAGGCCATTCAGCCCCTCGAGCCTGTTTTGCCATTCTATTAGATCAGGGCTGATCTGTACCTCAACTCCAATTCCCCGCCTTTCTCTCCACCTCAGTCTGGACTATGTGAATGGATCCAGACATAATCCACAGCCTTTTGGGGGGAAGAGAGAGAGAGAGAAAGAAACAGATTTCCACTAACCCTTTGGGTGAAAAACTGCCCCTGATTCACTCCCAAATGGCCAGGCTCTAATTCTAAGATGATGCCCCCACCCCCTGTTCTGGATTTCCCCCAGATTTCACCAGAGGAAATAGTTTCTCTGTAGCTATGCTATCGAATCCCTTTATTATTTTGAAAACCTCAATCAGATCAGCCTCACCTCAAGGATGGTGGAAGGCGAATTAGATGGACCTGTGTCTTCTTTCACGTAGCAAATTCTTATTTTCTGATATTAATCCATTAGACTCACTGCTCTAATAGCCAAATAGCCCCCAGTATGGGACCCACATCTTCTTCCAAATCTATATACACCTGCTTGGGTGTTTTAGCGTGGGGGTGGTGGTGGGGTAGGGGGCAGAAAGAATTGACCCTTCACTTTGGTCAAAGCTTTTCTGACAAGGAGATCCTTGTTGAGCCCTGTAGATCGATGCGATGGATCCCTCGCCTCGCAAGCGAGAGACCTGGGTTCGATTCCCAGCCAGGGGGGAACACTGGGCAAGTTTCCTTACTCCACACACACGCCTGATAATAATCCCTCAAGAAAAAAAATAAAAATAAAATAATAATGTGGTCACTTAATCGACAACTGTTTGTAGGACGCTGCTGTAAGTAATTGGCTGCTGCGTTTCGCCCACAAATATACAGTTAATTCACTTTACAGTGTATCCTGTGAAGCGCTTTGAGACGTCCAGAAGAAGTGATAAGGCGCTGAATCAAATGCAAGGATTATTATTATACTACAATTCCAGCCACACGTTACCTGCCTTATCTTTCTGTTCTAGTTTACTGTTGTGTGATCTGGGGTGAAGTGGGATAACAGTAATGGTCCTTGCCTTTGATATAACGTCTTGTCTCCTCAAAGCGCTTCACAGAATATATTGTAAAGTGTAGTGACTGTATATTTTGTGGGCAAAACGCGGCAGACAATTGCGCACAGCAGCGTCTCACAAGCAGTCATGAATTGAGTGACCAAATTATTATTATTTTTTCGTAGGGATTATTACCCATAACAACTAGGTTTCTAATTACTGTTAGGTAAATAGAGACGTTTGGAGTAAGGAAACTTGCCTCAGGTTTTGTCCTGCCCGGGAATCGAACCCATGTCTCTCACTTGCGAGGCGAGTGTTCTAACCACTGAGCTACAGGACTGCATACAGAGATGAACAGACCGAGGAAATGGGGGGGAAATGCTCAAATTGCGTTGGATTTAGATTCTCTGAGCAGAGCGTTGATCTCTCTCCTACAGGCGAGGAATTCCTGGGAAACGACGGCGGGAAGTACCTGAAGGTGGAGAACTCCAAGGAGCAGGATGAGGAATTCCTGGCCGTAAAGAAGAGCCTGGAGTACGATGTGTAAGGCTGGCACTGGGAACACATCCGCTCGTCACCTAACTCTGTGACCTGCTAACTCCATATAGACCTGTCCGTTCCCTCAGCTCATCGGGCTCCGGCCTGATCCACATCCTCAGCCTAGACTGCCCCCCCACCATTGGCAGTCAGGCCTTCAGCCTCTCTGCCCCCAACCTTTGGAACTCCATCCCACAGTCCCTTCACCTCGCCCCCTCCCTCGCCTCCTTTAAGGTCCGTCTCAAGACCCTCCTCTTCATCCGCGCCTTCAGTCACCCTCCTACCCCCACCCTGCACCCCCTCCCGATCCCAACCCCTAGCTCGGGTCAAAGTCCCTGACTGTCCAGTGCCTCGGGGACGTCCTCTCGGCGTGAAAAGTTCCATGTAAATGTTATGTGTTGTTGATGTTGTTGTTGTTTTCACGCAGAGGGGTGATAGAACATGGGATATTTTGGGGGGTGGGAGGGCGTTGAGGAGGCATTTGGCCTCCTCCTGCGCTGGGGTTTGTACAATTGTAGCCCCTCACTCAGTGGGTGGGCAGTACAATACAATACATTGTGCAGGCTGGTCACGTCGGGAGGACGTCCCACGGCAAGATGTGACTTTGCTCTGATGTTTCCTGCTAAAGATTTGAGAGGTTCTCTGGCTTCCCCATCTACAGGTCGCACCTGAAGACCTTCCCCTTCGACTGATGCCTACAGTCACCTCCCCCCGTCCCTTCCTCCCTCCCTCGGCTCTACGTCATGCTCTGTGACGTTACCCTGCATGAGGGGCGCGGTGTAAATGCAAGTTGTTGTTGTTGACATGGCGTGTGGTGTTGCCCGCAGGTCCTATTCCCCAGGCGAGCACCGGACAACACTGGCCATACCCGAGGCCGGAGCCACGAAGGAGCAGGTTGCGGGGCAGGGAGAACAGGCGCAGGTACTGGCCACATATCCCCCCCACTCACACACCCAGCCCCACCCCTGCTGTAAAGACCCCCACAGTGGGGGTGGTTGGGAGTTGGAGCTGCAGAGATGCTTGTGAAGTCAGTCTGGTGCCTTATCACGTCTTCGAGACGTCTCAAAGCGCTTCACGTATTCGCTGTAAAGTATAGTGACTGTGTATTTTGTGGGTGAAACGCAGCAGCCAATTGCACACAGCGGTGTCCCCACAAACAGCTGTGGATCGAAGTGACCACATTATTGTTATTTTTGGAAGGGATTATCACCATTATTAATTATAATAAATGAATAATTATTATTCAGATGAGCTGAAGGAAGGAGTTGGTCGTTCAAACCTTTCTGGTGAAGTCCATGATGGGGTGAGGGGGATTCCTCTTCCGCTCTCTCTCATAATTACTCCCCCTGTGGAGACCTGTAGCTCAGTGGTTAGAGCACTAGCCTCGCAAGCGAGAGGACCTGGGTTCGATTCCCGGGCAGAACAAGACCTTAGGCAAGTTTCCTTACTCCACACACACACACACGCGCCTCTGTTTACAGCAGTCAGTAGGAACACAGTTCTTAGTCACTTTTCCAGGGCTAATAATCTCTTCAAAAAATAATAATTATAATTTGGTCATGACTTTATGGGACGCTGCTGTGCGCAATTGGCTGCTGCGTTTCGCCCACAAAATATACAGTCAATTCACTTTACAGTGTATCCTGTGAAGCGCTTTGAGACTGCTCGAAGACGCGATAAGGCGCTGTGTCAAATGCCAGGATTATTATTATTATGATTATAATATCCTGTTTCCCAGCAGGCGTCTGTCTCCTTTTCCAAAGACTTTGATGAAGATTCCTTCACCCCCAGTAGCCCGGCAACTGAGACCTCCGATAACATCAGCCCCATCGCCAGCCCTGTACATACCGGGTAAGTGTGTCTACGCACCCCTCCCACTCCTCTATCTCTGTCTGTCTCTCTATCTCCCCCTCTCTGTCTGTCTCTCTATCTCCCCCTCTCTGTCTGTCTCTCTCTCCCCCTCTCGGAGCCATGTCACCTACATTCCTACTTCATGAATGTCGGCAAGTTTCCTTACTCCTCACACCCTGTTTCCCCAGCAGTAAGTAGGAATCCGGTTGGTTGTCAGTCGATTTTTTTTGTGTGGGATTATTATCCCTGGAAAGCGATCTGCCAATCGACTCACAACCCAGGCTCCTACTTAGTGTTCGGTAAACAGAGGCATGAGTGTGGAGTAAAGAAACTTTCCCAACATTTCGTCCTGCCCAGGAATCGAACCCGGATCCTTTTGCTTGCGAGGCGAGCACTCTAACCACTGAGTTATCCCTCTGTACTAAATCCTCTGCTGAATCCCAAGGATTGAATTGGATCGCAGGGAGCTGAACGGGGCACAACACTTACTTTCTTTCACTTTGTGCCCACCCGCCCGTCCGCCAGACACAGCAAGGTGAGGCGTGTCTGAGCCCCAGGCCAGCCTGGGCTACCGAGGGCGAGCGTGTGAATATTACACGCACCCTTTCTCTCTGTATTTTATGTTTTAGCAGCTTAATAGCCACCAGCAGCCCAACTGCACAGACAGCCCATAATATCAGTCCCACTGCCAGCCCCATCCGTACTGGGTAAGTCAGATAAAGACGGAAATCTGCTCTCTCGCTCTCTGCTTCACAAGCCACCTTCTTATCTCTCTCTCTCGCTCTCACTTGCTCCGTGCCTCCCACTGAAGCCTGTGGCTCTGGACTCTGGCTTTTTCTCCCCACACCTCACTCCCAGCACTCCCCCACCCCCCCACTCCCCATCCCAGCAATGCACCTTCTTACCCGGCATAGTTATTCCTATAGTCCTACCTTAAGCCAATTGTAAGGTGTATTGGATTGCACACTGGGTCCTGTGTATATAAAACACTTTGTCCTGTCCGTGTGTATTTGTCAGAGTAAAGTTGTGAAACCAGGAATTTCGCCAAATCCCTGAAATTTTCAGCAAAATTGTGAAATTAGGAGTCAGGGCTGTTGAGATAAAGTGCTCCCAGCAGTGACCAGGGGTAGAGGATGGTAACGTTAATAGGAGCAGAGAGCCCAGAGTGAGCTACGTCTGAAGTGTGGCGAGGCCAGAGTGAGAAGGAATTGTCTTTTTCCTCTAACTAAATGCACATAGCTTAGGGAATAAGGTTGATGAGTTGCAGGTTCAACTGGCCGTAGGGGGTTACAATGTGGTGGCAGTAACTGAGACATGGCTCAAATCAGGACAGGAACGGGAGATAAATATTCCAGGATATAATGTGTTCAGGAAGGATAGAGAAGGAAGAAAAGGAGGAAGGGTGGCAATATTAGTTAAGCATACAATTATAGCTGTAGAAAGGAACGAGGCTCAGGAGGGCCCAACAACAGAATCCATCTGGTTAGAGATAAGAAATAAGAAAGGAGTGGTTACACTGATAGGGGTTTACTACAGACCACCAGACAGCGGGAAGGAGATAGAGGAGCAGATCTGCAACCAGATCGCGGATAGATGTAGGGCGAACAGTTGTGATAATGGGGGATTTCAATTATCCCAATATAGACTGGCAAAATAGCAGCACTAAGGGCAAGGCAGGAGGAAGATTCATAAACTGTGTACAGGAAAATTTTCTTGAGCAGTATGTCTCCAGTCCTACGAGGAAGGAAGCATTGCTGGATCTAGTCCTGAGGAATGAAATAGATCAGGTTGAACAGGTTTCGGTAGGGGAACATCGAGGTAACAGTGACCATAATATTATTAGATTTAGATTACTCATGAACAGGGACAAAGTACAGTCAAGGGTGAAAATGCTTGACTGGAAAAGGGCTAATTTTGATGGGCTAAAAAGGGACCTAGAGTTGGTTGACTGGCAAGTAAGAATGGCAGGTAAAACAACTCATGAGCAACGGGAGATCTTCAAAGATACGATAGCTCAGGTCTAAATAGATATATTCCCACAAAAGGGAAATGTGCGACAACCAAGCCAGCCTGGATGACCAGGGATATTCTGTCTAGGATGAAAAAGAAGAAGACGGCGTACGACAATTGGAAGATGCAAGATACTGAGGATAGCAAAGCGCATTATAGAGAATGCAGGAGTGATCTTAAAAGAGTGATAAGACAGGCTAAAAGATCGCATGAGAAGAGGTTAGCGGGTAACATAAAGGGGAATCCTAAAATATTTTACAAGCACATAAAGGAAAAAAGGTTAGTTAAAGGTAGGGTGGGGCCAATCAAAGACAATGACGGCAATCTTGTTGTGGAGGCAGAGGAATGGCTGATGTACTGAACGAGTACTTTGCATCTGTCTTCACAACGGAAATGGATGCCCCAAATGCCGCAGTATTGGATGAGAGGGTAGAGGAAATAGATCAGATTACTATAGACAGAGAGGAAGTTCTGAAAAGATTGACTGGGCTCAAAATTGATAAGTCACCAGGACCAGATGGGTTTCACCCAAGGTTGCTGTGGGAGATACGGGTTCAAATAGCGGAGGCTTTGGCCATTATATTTCAATCTTCATTGGACACAGGAGTGGTGCCAAGAGACTGGAGAGTGGCTAATGTTACCCACTCTACAAAAAGGGGCAGAAAGACAAACCCGGAAATTACAGGCCAGTCAGCCTAACTTCGGTAATAGGAAAACTACTGGAGACCATAATCCGGGACAGAATAAATCTCTACTTAGAGGAACACGAGGTAATTAGAGACAGCCAACATGGATTTGTTAAAGGCAAATCTTGCCTAACAAATCTAATAGAATTTTTTGAAGAGGTGACTGCGAGGGTTGATGAGGGAAATGCGGTGGACGTTATTTACATGGATTTCAAAAAGGCTTTTGACACAGTACTGCATAAGAGATTAATAAAAAAATTAGAGGCCCACAGGGGCCAGTGGCAGTTTGGATTAAGAACTGACTGAGTGACAGAAAGCAGAGGGTGGTGGTTAATGGGTGTTTCTCGCAATGGAAGGAGGTGTGCAGCGGTGTCCCCCAGGGATCGGTATTGGGACCACTGCTCTTTCTAATATATATTAATGATCTGGACTTGGGCATAGGGAGCACTATTTCCAAGTTTGCAGATGATACAAAGTTAGGTCGGGTAGTAAATAGTGAGGAGGACTGTAACCAACTGCAAGCAGACATACACAGAATGGTGGAATGGGCTGACATGTGGCAGATGGATTTCAATGTGGATAAGTGTGAGGTGATACACTTAGGTAGGAAAAATGATAGGAGGCAATATAGACTTGGAGCTCAATCTTAAGGGGGGTGAACGTACAGAGAGATCTGGGTGTTCAAGTAAGCGAATCATTAAAGGTAGTGGGGCAGGTAGATAAGGCAGTAAAAAAGGCATTTGGTGTACTGAGCTTTATTAGTAGGGCATAGAGTATAAGAGTAGGGGTTATGGTTAATCTATACAAAACACTGGTTAGGCCTCAGCTGGAGTACTGCGTCCAGTTCTGGGCACCTTACCTCAGGAAGGACATTAAGGCACTGGAAAGGGTGCAGAGGAGATTCACGAGAATGATACCAGGAATGGGGAACCTTAGCTATGAGGACAGGCTGGAGAAGTTAGGACTTTTCCCATTAGAGCAGAGAAGGTTACGCGGGGACCTGATAGAGGTCTTCAAGATCATGAAAGGTTTCGACAGGCGAGATAGGGAAAGCTGTTTCCGCTGGTAGGTGTGTCTGTGACTCGTGGTCACAGTCTTAAGATATCTACCAAAAGAAGCAGAGGGGAGGTTAGAAGAAATGTTTTCACTCAGCGAGTTGTTGGAATTTGGAATGATCCGCCCGAAAGGGCAGTGAAGTCCGATTCGATAACAGCTTTTAAGAGAGAACTGGACAGGTATCGGGGAAGACGGGTTTGTGGGGTTATGGGGAGAAAGCTGGTGATTGGGGTTAGTGAAAGTGACGCTCTGTCAAAGAGCCGCACAGACTCGATTGGCCGAATGGCCTCCTTCTGTGCCGTAACATTCTATGAATCTATGAATAATAGGTGTTACCATTAATAATTAATCATTATTTATCTGTTGATAATGTCAACGCGAAGTTATGTATGTGATGAGTTTGTTGTCCCTGTTTGTGGGGCGCTGCTGTGTGCAATTTGCTGCCGTGTTTCGCCCACAAAACACACAATCAATTCTCTTTACAGTATATTCTGTGAAGCGCTTTGAGACGTCTCGAAGACGTAATAATAATAATAATCCTTGCAATTGATATAGCGCCTTATCATGTCTTCAATCTATCAATCGACTAACAACCGTGTTCCTACTAGGTAAACAGGTGTGTGTGTGTGGAGTAAGGAAACTTACCCAACTTTACACCCGGCCAGGAATCAAACCCAGGTCTCTCGCTTGTGAGGCGAGTGCTCTAACCACTGAGCTACAGGACACCACAAGGCGCAATATCAAATGCAAGGATTATTATTATAATAAATAATTATTAGAATTATGATAATTATTATTACAATTATATATATATCATTATAATTATTATAATTGTTATTATTATGGCTGATCGTCACCTTTCTTTGCCCACAGGTTCCTGGTCAGTTTTATGGTGGACGCTCGTGGAGGCTCTATGAGAGGCAGTCGACACAATGGGCTGCGGGTTATTATCCCCCCTCGCACCTGCAACGCTCCCACACGCATCACCTGCCGCCTGGTCAAGTCCCAGAAGCTGGTCAGCCCCCCCCCTCTGGTGGAGGGAGAGGGGCTGGCGAGCAGGGTCATTGCCCTGGGCCCTGCCGGAGCCCAATTCCTGGGGTACGTCCTGTTTACTGTCACCTTCAAAGCCCTCCATGGCCACCCTCCCCCATATCTCTGTGACGTCCTAACCCCCTACCAGCCTGCCAGCTCCCTCCGCTGAGCGGGCTACGGCCTGCTTCACGTCCCCCGCCTCATTCACCCCATTGGCGGGAGGACCTTCAGCCTCTCTGCCCCCACCTTCTGCAACTCCATCGCACGGTCCCTCCGCCTCGCCCCCTCCCTCGCCTACTTCAAGACCCGTTTTAAGACCTTCCTCTTCGACCGCACGTTTGGTCACCCTCCTGCCCCCACCCTCCCCGCCCTCCACCCCCTCCTGATCCCAACCCCCAGCTCCGGTCCAAACCTCTGACTTTCCAGCGCCTTGGGATGTCCTCCTGATGTGAAAGGCTCCGTGTAAATGTCATGTGTTGTTTATGGGGGTCGGGTTGTGGGGGATAATAATATTACAGTAATAATGATGCTGGCGCTTGATGTAGCGCCTTATCACGTCGCCGAGACACCTCAAAGCATTTCACAGGGTGTTTTATGTTTGTATGTGAGGCAGCTGTGTCTGATGGGAGTGAAATTAGCCGGTTATAGTCCAATCTATTCACTCCCCAACCCATCACCGCTGCCTCCGCTCAACTGGCACCTCTTGCTTGCCCCTCGCACCCTCCGTTCCACCATCGGTGGCTACGCTTTCAGCCACTACGCCCCGAAACTCTGTCACTCTCTCCCTCTATCCCTCCGCCTCGCTTCCTTCCTTCCCCATCTTCAGGTCACGCCTGAAGACCTTCCTCTTTGACCGTGTCTACAGTCACCTCCATTCCCCCCGGCTCAGCATCATACTCCGCCACTGTCAAGCGCTCTGGGATGCTGCCCTGTGTGAGGAGCGCTGTGTAAATGCAAGTTGTTGTTGTTGTTAATGGCTTAAATCCATAACACTGAATCCCCCTGTTACACTCTCTCTCTTTCTTTCTCTTGACATCTCTCTCTCACTCACTCACTCACTCACTCTTTCTCTCGCTCTCTCTGTGACTGACTGACTCTCTCTCTCACTCGCTCCCTCACTCACTTTCTCTCTCTTTCACTCACTCACTCTTTCTCTCTCAGTGGCTGACATTTCTCTCTCTCTTTCTCACTCACTTACTCTCTCACTCACTCTCTCTCTCAGTGACTGACGTCTCTTGCTCTCGCTCTCTCTCTCTCCCTCTCTCCAGGCCGGTAATTGTGGAGATTCCGCACTTTGCGTCAGTGGAACATCCCGACCGGGAGCTGGTGATCCTGAGGAGCGACAACGGGTCCGTGTGGAAGGAACATCGTAACCGCTGTGGGACAGAGACATTGGAACAGATACTGAATGGGATGGATGAAGGTGGGCTGGCTTTGTTATGTGTGTCTGTGTGTGTGTGAGACTGTGTGTATGTGTGTGTGTGACTGTGTGTGTGGTGTGTGACTGTATGTGAGACTGTGTGTGTGTGTGTGAGACTGTGTGTGAGATGATGTATGAGTGTGTGAGACTGTGTGTGAGACTGTGTGTATGTGTGTGTGAGACTGTGTGTGAGACTGTGTATGTGTGTGAGACTGTGTGTGTGAGAGAGACTGTGTGTGTGTGTGTGTGTGTGAGAGAGAGACTGTGTGTGTGAGACTGTGTGTGTGTGTGTGTGTGAGAGAGAGACACTGTGTGTGTGTGTGCGTGTGTGTGAGAGAGAGACACTGTGTGTGTGTGTGTGTGTGTGTGAGACCTTGCTGTGCGAAACACGGCAGCTGATGTGGGCTGACAGTGGCTAACGCTGGATGTTAATTAGGTGTAAGACACTGGACACGAGAAGGCTGTATAAAATAATATGTTCTCTCTCTCTCTCTCCGCCTTATCTCCCCCGTCTCTCCCCCATCTTTCTCCCTCTGTCTCCCCACCACTCTCTCCCACACACCCTTTCTCTCTCTCCCCCACCTCTCTCTGTCTCTCCGCCCCTCTCTCTGTCTCTCTCCCCCCCCTCTCTCTGTCTCTCTCCCCTCCTCTCGCTGTCTCTCCCCCACCCCCCCCTCCCTTCCCCCTCTCTCTCCCCCCTGTCTCTCTCTCCGCTCGGCTGCACAGACCTGGACTGTCGGGAGGAGTTGGAGCGGAAGCGCGTGAGCCGCATTGTGTCCATGGACTTCCCGCTGTACTTTGCTGTGATCTCTCGTATCAGGCAGGACAGTGACTGGATCGGGCCCGAGGGGGGGGTGGTCAACAGCTCCCTGGTCCCCCTGGTCCAGACCAGCTTCCCTCAGTCAGCCGTCACCAAGAAGGTCCGGCTCGCTCTCCAGGTACAGCGGGGGGGGCAGGAAACAGGTCACACACCGACCCACCCCCACCCCTCACCGGCTTCACACAATATAGTCACCTTTACAACAACTGTGCAGAATTGGCTGCCACAAAATGCACAGTTACTGCACTTTACAGTATATCCTGTGAAGCGCTCTGAGACAACAACAACAGCAACAAATGACATTTACACGGGGCCTCTCACATCGGGAGGACGTCCCAAGGCCGTGGACAGTCAGGAATTTGGACCCGAGCTGCGGGTTGGGATCAGGAGGGTGGAGAGCGGGAGGGGTGGGGGAGGAGGGTGACCGCAGGCGCAGTCGGTCAAAGAGGAGGGTCTTGAAATGGACCTTGAAAGAGGCGAGGGAGGGACAGTTCACTCACACACTCACTCACTCACTCACTCCCTCCCCCATCCACTCCCACGAGGCGGAGTGACTGTGGGATGGAGTTCCAGAGGGTGAGGGCAGAGTAACCAAAGGCCTGACCGCCCATGGTTGGGCGGGCGAGATGGGGGATATGGAGTAGGCCGGAGCCCGCTGAGCAAAGGGAGAGCGGCAGGAGCGGTCAGAGGTAGGGAGGGTGACTGGAAGACATGTTAAGGCGCCATAACAAATGTGAGGATGGAGGATGATGATGATGATGATGTTTCTCTGGTTTTCTCCCTCAGGCTCAGCCAGTACCTGACGAGCTGGTGACGAAGCTGGTGGGTAACCAGGCCACATTCAGCCCCATCGTGACCGTGGAGCCGAGGAGGAGGAAGTTCCACAGACCCATCGGTCTCCGCATCCCTCTACCCTCCTCCTGGAGGGACAACCCCCGGGACTCGGGCCAGGGCGACTCCACCAGCCTCCGTCTGCTCTGCAGCGTCATAGGTCTGAGCCCCGCCTCATCCAGTGCTCCCCTTCCACCCCCTCCCCTCTCACCCCCTCCCCTCTCACCCCCTTCCCTCTCACCCCCTCCGCTCTCACCCCCTCCCCTCCTAGACCCTCCTCTCCCTCCCCCTCGCCTCCAATCCCATCCCCTCCTGTCCTCTCCCACCCCAGTCCAGCCCAGAGAATTAGTCTGTGTGTGTGTGTGTGAGAGAGAGAGTGTGTAACTGTGTGTCTGTGTGACTGTCTGTGTGTATGTGTGTGTGAGATGTGTGACAGTGTGTGACAATGAGTGTGTGTGAGAGTGTGTGACAATGTGAGTGTGTGAGTGTGAGTACAGGTTTCCGCTGACAGCTCTGCTTGTCTGTAGGGGGTACAGCCGCGGCTCAGTGGGAAGATATCACGGGAACCACCAAACTCCTCAACGCTAACGGCTGCGCCAACTTCACCACCAACGTCTCCGCTCGGTGAGCATCAAACTCCCCTTCCCTTCCTACCGCAGGGGAGCAAACCAAACAACAACAACAACAACAACAAGATTCCATTTATAAAGCGCCTTTCACGTCAGGAGGACGTCCCAACGGGGGGGGAGGTGACCGTAGACACTGTCGAAGAGGAAGGACTTCAGGCACGACCTGAAGATGAGGAAGGAGGGGGTGAGGCTAGAGGGATAGAGGGAGAGGGCGACAGAGTTTCGGGGCACAGTGGCTGAAAGCGCGGCCACCGATGGTGGAACAGAGGGCACGAGGGACAAGCAGGAGGCTGGAGCCTGAACAGTGGAGGCAGAGGGTGGTGGGTTGGGGGGTGAGCAGTGGCTGAGAGCCTGGGCTTTGGGGAGACGCCATGTGTTAGTAACGATGGCTGCCACCCTGCGTTGGCAGGTTCTGGTTGGCAGATTGCCCCCGCACGGCTGAGGCGGTGACCTTCGCCTCCCAGCTGTACCGGGAGCTGATGGCTGTACCGTATGTGGCCAAGTTTGTGGTGTTCGCCAAGATGCACGACGGCAGGGATGGGCGACTGCGCTGTTACTGTATGACGGACGACAAGGTGGACAAGACCCTGGAGCAGCACGAGAACTTTGCCGAAGTGGCTCGCAGCCGAAACATCGAGGTGGGTCTGAGCAGGAGGGGAAACAGCCTGACATTCCCTTAGCTCTCTCCACCCCGCCACTCCCTCTCTTTCCCCCCGCCGCCGCCCCCCCCACTCCTCTCTCCCCCTCCTCTCCTCCCAACCGCCTCTCCTCCCCACTCTCCCCCCACCCACTCTCCCTCCCTCTTGGTGGAAGCCGATTAGATAACGACTTTTAAGGGAGAAGTAGATAATTATTTGGGGAGGACAAGTTTGCAGAGCTATGGGGAGAGAGGCGGGGAGTGGGGTTGATCAGGGCTATGGGGAGAGAGCGGGGAGTGGGGATGATCAGGGCTATGGGGATATCTCTCTCTCTTCCCCCCCTCCCCCCTCTCTCTCTTCTCCCCACCTCCGTCTCACCCCCTTCTCTCTCTCTTCTACTCTCTCTCTCTCTCCCCCCCCACCCCCACCCCCCTCACTCGCCTCTTCCTCCCCTTCTCTCTCCCCCTCCCTTTCTCTCCCCCCTCTCCCAGGTGCTGGAGGGAATGCCGCTGTATGTGGAATGCTCTGGGAATATCGTGCCGGTCAGGAAGGCCGGACAGCAACGATGCTTCAACTTCCAGTCCTTCAAGGAAAACCGACTCCCAATCTCCATCAAGGTCAGTGCGATATATACACACACATATACAAACTCATACACACATGCATGTACACTCACACAAACATGCACACACAGTCACACACATGCAAGTACACACACACACTCACGCACACACAAACAGACACATATACAAACACATGCACACATGCATATACAATCACACACAGTCACACACACACGCATACAGACACATACACGAACACATGCACACAAAGGCGCACACACTCAGTCACACGCATACAAGCATACACATACATATTCACAGACACATAGACACACACACACACACACAAGCACACAAAGTGTTTGTGGTGCAACTGGTGTAAAACTCACAGGATTGTGACTGGTGGCCAGAGCCAGTCGGTAAGATAAGAACATAAGAATTTGCTGAACGAAAGATGACTGAGATCCATCCAGTTCACCTTCCAACCATCCTGGCCATCGTTTGCCATGTCGTGTCCCAAACTACATACTGTTTCCCCGGATACTGATACAGAAATCTATCCCATTTGTTCTGGAAAGAACCCACACTTTCTGCTTCCACCGTCTGTCTCCCTCGAGAACCTGTCCTGTTCCGTACGTTTACTCGTCACTCACTGAAGGGGTGTTACCCCAGATTTGTTCCGAATTTACCCCTTTTCATTCGCAGGCTGTGGCCTCTGATTTTGCTGTTCATTTCATTTGAGTAAGATTTTCATTCGTATCAAATAGCTGGAGGTTTTATTTATTGTTTTTCTTCCCTTTTATCTCTGCCCCCACCCTTTGGAACTCCATCCCACAGGCCCTTCGCCTCGGCCCCTCCCTCACCTCCTTCAGGTTCCATCTCAAGACCCTCCTCTTCGACCAACCGTGCCTTCGGTCACCCTCCTACCCCCACCCTCCCTCCCCTCCACTACCTCCTGATTCCAAACCCCAGCTCGGGTCCAAATCCCTGACTGTTGTTGTTGTTAAAAGGTGCGAGACCCCAGTAAAGACTACACCGGCCACATCTCCTTCCTGCGGAAACCGACTAAGTACGAGGATCTGCAGCACACCATCTGTAACCTGAACATCACCTTGCCTCCCTGCCTCAAGGTACTCACTCACACACACTCACACACTCACACATGCACAATCACACACACACTCGCTGCCTCCTGACAAACCCATCTTGATGTCACTGATTGTGAACTGGTTTCCCCGCAGATTGATGGCAGTGACGAGCGAAGGCGGAACCTGACTCCTCTGGCTTTACGGGAGCGATACAGCACCTTGAGGGAACCTGCCCTGGGTAACCACAGCTACTGCGGAGGGTGGGGTTGGGGGGGTGGATTGGGGGNAAATACACACACAGACATACCCACACACACATAAACACAAACACACACACCCCCATACGTACAGACATGCACCCACACACCTCCACGCACCCACAAACGATAGCTACACAGCGCCTTTCACATCAGGAGGACGTCCCAAGGCGCTGGACAGTCAGGGATTAGGATCCGATCTGGGGTTTGGGATCAGGAGGGGTGGAGGGCGGGGAGCCTGGGGGTAGGACGGTGACCAAAGGCTCGGTCAAAGAGGAGGGTCTTGAACCGGACCTTGAAGGAAGGGAGGGAGCGAGGTGAAGGGACTGTGGGATGGAGTTCCAGAAGGTGGGGGCAGAGAGGCTGAAGGCCCAATTGCCGATGACCACACACACACACTGTTTCCGTGTAGGGGGAGAGAAAGAAAAGGTCAGATTGCGACTTTGGGGCTCAGAGGAGGCAAAGAAAGGAAAGTTCTGTGATCTACACCTGTACCTCACACCCACACTAAACCCCGTTCCCCCCATCACCCCAGCCCTCGCCAGCCCCACTGGCTCCCTATCACACACACTAATCCTCGTCCCCCATCACCCCAGCCCTCGCCAGCCCCACTGTCTCCTTATCACCAAATAAATCAATTTACAAGATCCTCTCACTCGTTTTCAAACCCCTTTGCGCACCCGCACCTCCCTCCCTCTCCCACCTGCTCACCCCCCACCCCAATTCCACTACCCGCTGCCTCCCCTCGGCTGGCTCCAGCCTCCTCTTTGTCCCTCGTCCCCTCTGCTCCACCATTGGTGGCCGTGCCTGCAGCCGCTACGCCCCGAAACTCTTGTCATTCCGTCCCTCAATCCCTCCGCCTCACCCCCTCCCTCCCCACCTTCAAATCCCACCTAAACCCCTTCCTTTTTGATTGTGTTTATGGTCCTCCCTCCCTCTCCTCCCTGACTAGGGACTAGACTCCGCAACTGTCAAGCGCCCTGGGACCCTACCCTATATGAAGGGCGCTGTGAAAAATGCAAGTTGTTGTTGTTGTTACTGCAGTGTGCACTGCGATTTGAGAATATGATGGTCACACTGTGTTCTCCCCCTCGCACCCCATCTCCTCTCTCCCCCCCTCGGACTCTTGCAGCTACACTGAGTGCCAGGGAGCGGGCGGAAATGAAGATGGCCTTGATAGCAGAACACCTGGGTCTGAGCTGGGCAGGTGAGTCAGAACCACAACCATTAATTGTTCAGATACCTGTTAGCACCTCAATCCTCCCACCTCTCTCCCCCTTTTTCTCCCCCTCTTTCTCCCCTCCTCTCTCCCCCTCTTTCATCTCTTTCAGTTCAATTTTACACTGGTCCTTTTTTTGTGTTTGTTTGCTTGGGTTTTTTTGCCCAGCCGGGTGTCTGACACATGTGGAATCCCATCACAGTTGCTTAATAAGAGTCTCCAAACCCAACTGAGCATTGCCAGGCATCCCACCTACACATGGAAATCCCAGACATAGATTGTTCTCTCTCTCTTTCTCCGCCTCCTGCTTACCTAATTCTGGAAAGTATTAGGCGCAGGTTGGCAAGAGCCAAGGCTTGCAGGGAACCCAGAGTGTGTGTTGGGGTAACTGCTGGAGTCTGACCAGCTCAAACTACATCCTTCCCGCTTCCCATTAGGGCTTTGGCTTGTACATGTCCTGTAGCTCAGTGGTTAGAGCACTCGCCTCACAGGCGAAAGGACCTGGGTTTGATTCCCAGACAGGGCGAAATGTTGGGAAGTTTCCTTAATCCACACACACGTCTCTGTTTACCGGCAGTCAGTAGGACCCGGTTGTTAGTCGATTGGCAGATCACTTTTCCGGGGGTAATAATCCCTTCAAAAATAAATAATAATTCGGTCCATGACTGGTTGTAGGGACACTATTGTGCGAAATTGGCTGCCGCGTTTTGCCCACAAAATACTCAGTCAATTCACTTTACAGTGTATCCTGTGAAGCGCTTTGAGATCTCTCGAAGACGTGATAAGGCGCTGTGTCAAATGCCGGGATTGTTGTTGCATGAGAATGACCGACGGTACACATCCTGCCTCAAGGGGCGACCTGGAGCATCTCTGTTGTTCCTTACTCCCCACAAAATACGCAGTCACTACACTTTAAAGTGTATCCTGTGACATGCTTTGAGACGTCTCAATGTACGTGATAAGACGCCTTATGAAATGCGAGGATTATTATTGTTACTGTGGTGTAGCTGACAGCCATGTGTGTGCGTGTGTGTGCGCGTGTGTGTGCGTGTGCGTGTGTGTCTGGGTTGCAGAGTTGGCGAGGGAGCTGCAATTCTCTGTCGATGACATCAATAAGATCCGGGTGGAAAATCCCAACTCTCTGTTGGAACAGAGCGCTGCTCTCCTCAACCTGTGGGCCGGTCACGAGGGCAAGAGAGCCAAGAGTAAGTCCACATCAACAACAATTTGCACATTACACAGCGAATGTGGACAACCGCCGGCTTAATGCTTAGAGCAGGTTTCTATTGAACATCATGCAGAATTGTGGCGTCCTGTGGCTTGGTGGTTAGAGCACTCACCTCGCAAGAGAGAGGACCCGGGTTCGATTCCCGCACAGGACAAAACTGTAGGCGAGTTTCCTCACTCCACGCACGCGCCTCTGATTACCCGGCAGTAATTAGGAACCCGCTTGTTAGTTAATTGTCAGATCGCTTTTCCAGGGGTAACAATCCCTTCAAATAATAATAATAATTTGGTCACTTCAATCCACAACTGCTTGTGGGGATACTACTGTGCGCAATTGGCTACCAGCTTCCGCCTACAAAATATACAGTCACTACACTTTACAGTATATTCTGTGAAGCGCTTTGCGGCGTCTCGAAGACGTGATAAGGTGCTGTATCAAATGCAAGGATTATTATTGCTATTATTGTTGTTGTTGATATTATTGTTATTTCTTACTATCATTATTGTTTTTGTTATTATTGTTTTCGATGTTATTATTGTTGTTATTGTTATAATTATTATTGTTATTCGGAAAGTGGTGGAAGGATGAAGAGAATGGCTGACGTTTCTCTCTCCTGTTAGTGGAAAGCTTGCACACTGCTCTGAAGAACATTGACCGGAATGATATTGTGAGTATGTTGGAGGGATCCAATTCGCAAGGCTGGGTCCTGAAAGGGGATCGAAGGCGCGGAGAGAGAGATCAAAGCTTGTCACCGGCGGTGAATGGTAAGCAAGTCATCTCTTACAGGGTTCCTTCTCTCTCTTAACACAAATCAAATGGTTTCCTTGCATCTCGTTCTCATTGCTGAGAGTGCGTGCGACTGTCTTATCAAATGTAGTTCTGTGGAGGGGACTTATGCTGTCTGGGTGCTGTGACCTGCTGTCGATAGTGTTAGACACTAAGGCTCCCTCCCTCCCTTTCTTCCTCGCCACATTCAGTCTATCTACAGTCGTCGATCTTTCATAGAATCATAGAATCTTACAGCACAGAAGGAGGCCATTTGGCTCATCGTGCCTGTGCCGGCTCTTTGAAAGAGCTGCCAACTAGTCCCACTCCCCCGCTCTTACCCCAACTAGTCCCACTCCCCCGCTCTTACCCCAACTAGTCCCCACTCCCTCGCTCTTACCCCAACTAGTCCCACTCCCCCGCTCTTACCCCAACTAGTCCCACTCCCCCGCTCTTACCCCAACTAGTCCCACTCCCCAGCTCTTACCCCAACTAGTCCCACTCCCCCGCTCTTACCCCAACTAGTCCCACTCCCCCGCTCTTACCCCAACTAGTCCCACTCCCCCGCTCTTACCCCATTCCTGCAAATTTTTACCTATCCAACTCCCTTTTGAAAGTTATTATGGAATCTGCTCCCACCAATCTTTCAAGCCATGCATTCGAACTCTCTAGGTTGTTAAAAAAAAAGTCTCTTCATCTCCCCTCTGGTTCTTTTGCCAATTACCTTAAATCTGTGTCCTCTGGTTACCGACCCACCCGCCCGCCAGATGAAACATTTCTCCTTATTTACTCTTATCAAAACCCCATCAGAAGCCGATCATAAGCCGGTCCCTCAAGGTGGATGCGTGTGTAGATATGCTCTCAACCTCCCCACCCCCAGACAGCTCCCCCCTCCTCACATCCAGTGTTTACAGTTTGCCAATGGTGGAACGTTAAGTGGACAGTTAAGGATAGTCGGTCACTACTTTATAGTTGAACTCTTTATGCTGTGTGTTTGTCAAAAACATGCCGTCTGGGCGTTGTCGGCAATTTTACTTCCTCTGCTGTGCCAAAAAGGTGAAACTGTTTCAGAATTTCTGTCACCTCTCTACCTCGGACCTCTGACCTCACGCTGATTGAAGTCTGGCATTGTGCTATCTCCCTCACTGCATGTCCTCTGTCTCCATCTCACACTAACCCAGGTCAGACCATGTCTTCCTGACACACAGATTATACTCCCAATCTTCAAAGAGCAATGAATGGTGAAGAAAAATTACTGTTTCTAAGATTAATATTCTTCACTCAATTCTAAATGAACCCCCCCAAAAAAAACTCCTTACAGTTTCAGGCCTGGCTTCCCCAACCTTTGCCTTCATGGAGTTTCTCCCCAATGGCCAATAAGTACGAAGAAAGTCCCGTAGCGTAGTGGTTAGTGCACTCGCTCTAAAGCACAAGGAACAGGGTTTGATTCCCAGGCAACTTTAGGCAAAGTACGTTACTCCATGCATGCCCGCCTGTTTACCTGCAGTAAATAGGAACTCGGTTTGTTCAGTCGATTGGCTGATCACCTTCCAGGGCAGTAATCCCTCCAAAACAAAAATGGCATCACTCAATCCACCTTACAGCTGAACTCTGTGTTTGTCAAAAACATGCCATCTATGTGTTGTCAGCAGTTTTACTTCCTCTGCTGTGCCAAAAAGGTGTTAGTGGGGATGCTGCTGTGTGCAATTGGCTGCCGCGTTTCACCCACAAAATATACAGTCAATTCACTTCACAGTATATCCTGTGAATATAGGATATCTCAAATGTGTGATAAGGCACTGTATCAAATGCAAGGATTATTATTATTTTCATTCCCCACCCCACTGCCCCACACTCTCCCCATGAAACTCTCTATAGCCTGAAGTGAAACTCCCTGTGTACACCCTCAACTCCCACAATTAGGAAACTCCATGTTGGCGACGGGGTGGGGGAGGGTGTGGTGAAGGGGGAGGGGTTTGAAATTGGAGCCCCTCAAAAAGCTGTGCTCAAGTGGGAAGTCCTGATAGGGAATTGGGAACTGATCTAGATGTGATCCCATCGCTTGGGTAAAGGGCAATGGATCCATCAAGGAGGCATCTTATCACTATCTATCACTCCACCATTATTAACGCTATGCTACACAGTTCCCCTTGGAATGCTTTGAAGTTTCATCCACTCCGCCAGATAAAAGGGTGGGAGTGACTGCTTTGGGAATGGCTTGGCTTGTCGTGATGCTTGTGCCTGGAATGCGGAAATGTTGTCCGGAGCGGGAATGTTGTCCAGTGAATGTGGAGACAGCCCGCTCTCTGTGACAGGGTTTGGGGGCAGCGAGCTTTTTGGGGGTCGATGGTGGGGGGAAATCTCGCTCCTGTCATCTCCATGTGGCTGTACCGATTTCAAGACAACCCCACCTTCTGCTCTTCTGTCTCCACCCCCCCATCCTCCCTCTCCCGAGGGCTCCCATTGCTTTCCCTTTGCACACATGGAATTGTGGGACCAAGGGGGATAAACTCCTGAATTATTAGCTGTTAACAGTCGTATTTCTCCCCAATCCCCAGCCCTCACTTCCTCCCTCCCCAGAGATTCAGCTCCTGTTAACATCGCAACCTAAAGCCCTAACGGGTAGGGTGGTCCTGGCTGGGATTTCCATGTGGAGGTGTGGATGGATGGAAATCTGCCCTGTTCTCTAGTGGTCACATTCTCACACCCGCTCACATGAGGAATATCTGTTTACCTTCCCTGTCCTCTGCCCAAAGTTCTTTAGTAATTCTTCAAGAAACGAGTCATTAGAATGTGGGTCACAAACCCCTCTCCCCCACCACCCCCATCCTCCCCCTAACCCCCGCCCCCCCACCCCCACTGCCCACCCATCCACCCAAAACAGAAAGCTTCTCTTCTGTCACTCGCTTGTGTTTGTGGAAACAACTCTGCTCTATTCTGTCATGTGTGGTGCGTGTTTTGTCTTGTCGGTGGCTGTGGCTTGACCTGTGTTTGGTTGCTGTTGTTGCCCATCACTGTTCTGATGAGTTCACCTGATTAATACAACAATAACAACAACTTGCATTTGCACAGCGCCCTCCACAAGGGGGAGCTCCGGGTCCCAGAGCGCTTCAGTCTTAAAGAATGTAAAGAATTGCCGTGAATTTGACCCCGAGTCTGTGCTTGTGATCGGCATGTATTTATTCTCCTGTCTCCATCGCTTCCCTCTCCGCCCGTAACACGAGAGCCGCGTCCACAGCCCAGCCTCCTGATCAGCCTTGCGCACTTCAGCAGAGAATCACACAATCTTACAGCACAGGAGGAGGCCATTCAGCCCATCGTGCCTGTTTCTGCTCTTTGAAAGAGCCACCGACTAGTCCCACTCCCCCACTCTTACCCCAATTAGTCCCGCTCCCCCCGCTCTTACCCCAACTAGTCCCACTTCCCCCACTCTTTCCACAATTAGTCCCACTCCCCCGCTCTTACCCCAACTAATCCCACTCCCCCGCTCTTTCTCCAACTAGTCCCACTCCCCCGCTCTTACCCCAACAAGTCCCACTCTTCTGCTCTTATGCCAATCAGTCCCACTCCCTCTCTTTTATCCCATAGTCCTGCACATTTTTCAAGTCCGTATCTAATACCCGTTTGAAACCTACTATTGAATCTGCTTTCATCAGCCTTTCAGGCCGTGCGTTCAAGACCATATCAACCCTTTGGGTAAAATTAATGTCTCCTCGCCTCCCCTCTGGTACTTTTGCCAATTATCTTAAATCTGTGGTTACCGACCCCCCGCCCCCCGCCCGCCAGAGGAAACAGTTTCTCCCCTATTTACTCCCAAAACCCTTCATAATTTTGAACCCCCCTATTAAATCTCCCCTAAGCTTCTCTGCTCTAAGGAGAATAATCCCAGTTTCTCTCGTCTCTCCACATAATTGTAGTCACTCAATCCCTGGTATCAATCTCAGGTTGTGATGTAATAAAGCATGAGCTCATTTCACAGCTTCCTGTCCTCCAGCTCCAATTCAACATCCGCTAACGTGGAGCCTAAAAGCAGTCGCAGACTCAGCACAAGTCGTGTTAGACAGAGTCAGGTTACTCATCCTGAGACGCTCACAGATTTCTCTCCAGTTGCTATCAGAGGAACAGGAGAAGACCAAACAGCCACTCGAGTCTGTTCTGCCATTCTATTAGATCATGCCTGATCTGCACCTCAACTCCAATTACCCGCCCTTGGCCCATATGGAGTCTGCAGCTCAGTGGTTAGAGCACTCGCCTCGCAAGCGAGAGGACCTGGATTCGATTCCCGGCAGGACGAAATATTGGGCAAATTTCCTTACTCCATACACATGCCTCTGTTTACCAGCAGTAAGTAGGAACCCACTTGTTAGTCGATTAGTGAACCACTTTCCGGGGGTAATAATTCCTTCAAAAAAAAGAAGAATTTGGTCACTCAATCCACGACTGTTTGTGTGGGACGCTGCTTTGCGCAATTGGCTGCCGTGTTTCAGCCACAAAATATACAGTCAATTCACTTTACTGTGAAGTGTTTTGAGATGCCTTGAAGACATGATAAGGCGCTGAATCAAATACAAGGATCATTATTACTATATTGTAAAACCAAAGTTCATCTCGTTTGCCTTCTACCATCCTGAGTCACCTGCTACCATAATGAGATGTTAATAACAAGAACAAATTACGTTTAATCAACAGCTTTTACATCGGGAGACGTCCCGAGGCACTGGACAGTCAGGGATTTGGACCTGAGCCGGGGGTTGGGATCAGGAGAGGTGGAGGGTGGGGAGGATGGTCGAGGCGGTGGTCGAAGAAGAGGGTTTTGGGACCGGTCTTGCAGGAGGCAAGGGAGGGAGCAGCAATTAATTCTGTATGGATTAGTTTACAACAGAGGGGAAAGCTTTGGGAACTTTGCATCCAAAGTTGCCTGGTTCTTCCGAGCCACACTACACTTACTATACGTCATAATAATATGTTATGTCTCAAATGACTCATATACTATATCACAAAATATTGGCCACTGGCTCCCCACCCCCCAGAGGCTCCCCACCCCCCTCAAAATCCTCATCCTCCCCTTCAAAGCCTCCATTGCCTTCCTCCTTCCTACCCCTGTGACCTGCTGACCCCATATCACCTGTCCGCTCCCTCCGCTCAGCAGGCTCCAGACCGCCCCTCCACCATCTTGCTTCATCCTCTCTGCTCCCATCCTATGGAAGTCCATCCCACAGTCCCTTCACCTCGCCCCCTCCCTCACCTCCTTCAAGATCCATCTCAAGACCCTTCTCTTCGACCGCGCCTTCGGTCACCCTCCTACCCCAACTCTTCCCACCCCTCCTGATCCCAACCTCCAGCTCGGGTCCGAATCCCTGACTGTACAGCACCTTATGACTTCCTCCCAACGTGAAAGGCGCCGTGTAAATGTCATTGGTTGTTGTTATTTTCTAAAAGAAATCTTAATGTAATTTGTATTTGAATGTATTTGTTCTGTGGTGTGTGTGTGTGGGGGGGGCCTTGTGTGTGTGGGAGGGGGGGGAGTGGGGGTGGGGGGGTGGAGGGGGGGAGCTCCTGTAAAAAGAAGGCTTTGATGACGTTTGAGATTGAGAACACTCCACAACGTAAACCCTCCTTGTCCTTTTGTTGTGGGAGATTTGCACTGCTAGTTTGCGTGTTCAATGCCTGGTTTGGGACTTGCAGAAAGCGCTGGGATTTTGGACTGTGTGTGTGTGAGGCAGCCACTCTCCGAGTGACTTATCATTGACATGAAGGGCTATCTCTGGGCTTCAGAAATGGTCAACGCATAGTCTGACACCACCCCACCCGCCCCCCCCCCCACCCATTTCTTGGCAACATTGGAGTCCTGTAGCTCAATGGTTAGAGCACTCGCCTCGCAAGCGAGAGGGCCTGGGTTTGATTCCTGGGCGGGCAGGGCAAAATATTGGGCAAGTTTCCTTACTCCACACACGCACTCACACTACGCACACAAACACACACGCCTCTACTTACCGAGCAGTAAGTAGGAACCTGGTTGTCAAGTCAATGGGCGGATCGCTTTATGGGAGTAATAAGCCCTTATTAAAAAAAATGTGGTCACTCAATCCACGGCTGTTTGTGGGGACGCTGCTGTGTGCTATTTGCTGCCGCGTTTTGCCCACAAAATATAGTCAATTCACTTTACAGTGTATCCTTTGAAGCTCTTTGAGACATCTCAAAGACGTGATGAGTCGCTGTATCAAGTGCAAGGATTATTATTATACCCACACACCTGCGATTACCATTTCACTGCCCCAGGGATAGTCTGCTGGCCTGCCTGCGCTGTACAATTCATGTCAGAGGTGTTACCCCTCATCACAACAATGGCTGAGAAAGAACCCAGTGTTCAGAGGGGTGGCCTCTGTCCCTCTCCCTCTCCCATCACCCTCTCCCCTCTCTCCTCCTTCTTCCCTCTCCCTCTCCCCTTCTCCCCTCTCCCATCCCCTCTCTCCTTCTTCCCTCTCCTCTCTCCCCTTCCTCTCCCCTACTCCCCTCTTCCTCTCCCTCTCCCCTCCCTCTACCCCTCTCCCCTCTCTCCCTCTCCCTCTTCTCCCCTCTCCCCAACACAAGTGGCTGTTGCGAGTTTGGCTTGTGCTCTGTCTGCTTGTGCAGGTTTCACACCCGTGCAGGATGAATTGCTCTCTCCGGCTTCCCTCCATTACATGATGCCCTCTCCTCTCCGAGCGGATCTCTTCTGGAACGACGTGTCGGTGAGCCTGGAGGCTCCGGTCGCCCGCACCGACAACGACTCCCTCCTGGAGATGTCGGACTGGTCCGCGGCAGGAGTGCCCCCCCTGGTGGTCCCGGAGGACTCCTCGCTGGAGTACAGCAAGACGGATGAGTCGTTGTGGTCAGACTCGGCCGACAAGCAACAGGAAGACCTTGGGGAGAGGGGCGGTTCCTTGAACCTGATCGAGGAGGCCCCTTCGCCGGTGGATTCCGATCCCATCGATGGTCTGGCAGATCTGCTGATCGCTAGCCTGACTCAGAGGTCAGAGAGCCGAGCAGAGGTGACAGAGGGACAGAGAACAGAGGCTGATGTCAGCGCGGAGCAGGAGCAGGAGCAGGAGGAACTGAGTACAGAGAATGGGCTTTCTGTCGTTGCAGGGCAAGCCGGGTCCCGCGTGAGAGACACCGGGTCAGCCATCCTGAGGGGGCAGAGCACAGACTCCAGCAGGTGGCAAGATCACAGCGTGGACAGGTAAAAGGCACATCTGGGTGTGTTGGCAGTGTTGAGGCTCGGAGAACAAACGTGTGTTAATTAATAACAGGACAAGAGGAAGCTAAGCGACACGAGGTAGATTTTATGTGTGTGTGTGTGTTCCCCCTCCCCCCCCACCCACCCTGTCTGCCCCATTATTGCTGGGCCAGTTTTCAGCCATTCTGCCCCTGATCAAAAAACCTTCCCTGGACCCATCTCTACTTTCTAGCTATTGCCACATCTCCAACCTCCATTTCCTCTCCAAGATCCTGGAACGAGCTGTTGCTTCACTGTTTTCTCTCCTCCCACTCCCTCCAATCCTACAGCGCGAAACAGCCCTGGTCAAAATCACATTCTGTCCCTCTGTGACCAGGGTTCTCTCTGCCTCCTTGTTCTCCTCGACCTCCTCCACCGCCTCTCCTCTTAGCTCAACCTTCATGGACCTGCTTTTGCCTGGGGTCAATTCCTGCCTCCCCCACCCTCTCCACTTTGTCTCCGCTAACGGCTTCTCCTCCAGTCCCCGCACTGTCTCGTGCGGCATTCCTCAGGGCTCTGTCCTTGGCCCCCTCCTCTTCAACATCTATATGCTCCCTCTTGTTGACATCATCCGCAGACATGGGGTCAACTTCCATATGTATATGGATGATACCCAACTCTACCTCTCTGCCTCCACTCTTGACTCCAGGACCCACTGCCGTCCCCACAGACTGCCTGTCGGACATCAAGTCCTGGATGAGAGCTAACTTCCTGCTGTTGAATGTCAACAAGATCGAGGCTCTCCTGATTGGCCCCCATCAGAGCCTCCTCACCTCAGGTGCTGACAGCATCACCCTTCATAGATGCACTTGACATCTCAGGGAGCCAATACAGGACCTCAGCATCCTGTTCAACCCTCAACTGTCCTTCGTCCCCCACATCCGTGCCATGACCCGACCCGATCTGCCTTCCACCACCTCTGTAGCATCACCCAGCTCCGCCAGGGTGTCACACCGCAGCCCGCCGAGACCCTCATACTCATACATGCATTCATAACATCCAGGCTCGACTAGACAAACTCCCTGCTTGTCGGCCTCCCAACTCCTCCCTCTATATGCTGCAGATCATCCCGAACTCTCCAGACCGTGTCCTCTCCCATATCAGGCTCTGTGACCCCCATCCTCGCCCGACTCTAGTGGCTTCCCATCATACAGAGGATACAGTTCAAGATCCTGGTCCAAACTTTCAAAGTATTCCGTAGCCTTGCTCCCCCCTAACTCTGTGACCTCTTAATCCCCTACCATCCTGGCTGCTCCCTCTGCTCAGCGGGCTCTGACAACAACAACAACAACAAGATTCCAATTATTGAGCGCCTTTCACGTCGGGGGGACGTCCCAAGGCGCTGTACAGTTGGGTCAGGACCCGAGCAGGCGGGAAATGGTCAGGGTGAGGGAAGGGAGGGAGGGAGCGAGGAGGGGGAAGAGAGTCGAGAGGGGAGCTGAAGGCACGTTCAAAGAGAAAGGTCTTGAGACCGGCCTTGAAGGAGGAAAGGGAGGAAGCGGCGAAGGCACTGGGGATAGAGTTCCAGAGCCTTGGGGCTGAGAGGCTGAAGGCCACCGATGGTAGAGTGGTTGGGGCGGGGGGTGTGGAGCAGACCGGAGCCAGAGGAACGGAGGGTACAGGCAGGTAGGTAGGGGGATAGTAGGTCGGAGAGGTAGGAGGGAGCGAGGCCGTGAATGGCCTTGTAGGTGAGGATGAGGATCTTGAATTCGATCCTCTGGGGGATGGGGAACCAGTGGAGGCGAGCGAGGGCGAGGGTGAGGGCGAGGGTGAGGGTGAGGGCGAGGGTGGGAGTGATGTGGGCGCGGTGTCTGGTGCGGGACAGTACACGAGCTGCAGAGTTCTGAATGACCGGCAGTGTGGAGGGAGGGCCGGGAAGGCCGACGAGGAGAGAGTTCCCATAGTCCGGCCTTGAGGTGATAAAGGTGAGGACCAGAGTTTCAGCCGCGTGAGGGGTGAGGTAGTGCCGTAGTCTGGCGAAGTTCCGGAGGTGATGGAAGGCGGTACCAGTTGTGGTGCGGATATGAGGGAGAAAGGACAGCTCAGGGTCGAACAGAACACAGAGGTTCCTGATGGCTTTGAGAGGTGGAGAGTGCAGCCTTGGATGCTGATGGTGTCAGCGCCTGAGGTGCGGAGGCGCTGACATGAGCCAATCAGGAGGACCTCAGTTTTGCGCACATTGGGCTGAAGAAATTTATCTCTCGTCCAGGACTCGATGTCGGACAGACAGCTGTCAGGACATCGGGGGTCGTGGAGTTGAGGGTAGAGGAGGAAAGGTAGAGTTGGGTGTCATCCGCATACATGTGGAAGTTAACCCCATGTCTGCGGATGATGTCACCACAGGGGGAGCATATAGAGGGTGAAGAGGAGGGGACCGAGGACAGAGCCCTGAGGGACACCGCACGAGACAGTGCGGGGGGTGGAGGAAAACCATTAGTGGAGACAAAGTGAAGATGGTGGGAGAGGTACGACCTAAACCACTCAAGGGCAGGGCCTTGAAGGTTGAGGTGGGAGGACAGGCGGTGGAGGAGGATAGCGTGGTCGACCGTATCGAATGCTGCCGATAGGTCGAGGAGGACGAGGAGGCAGAGGGAGCCCTGGTCACAGATGGTCAGGATGTCATTGGTGACCTTGACCAGGGCAGTTTCTGTGCTATGGGCAGCACGGAAACCCGACTGAAGGGGTTCGAGTAATGAATGGTTGGAGAGGAAAGAGCGCAGCTGGGAGGCGACAACTCGTTCCAGGACCTTGGACAGGAAGGGGAGGTTGGAGATGGGCCGGTAGCTTGATAGCTGCGACGCATCAAGGGAGGGTTTTTTCAAGGTGGGAGTGATGATGGCAGTTTTTAAGGGAATGGGAACAGAGCCAGAGGAGAGGGACAGGTTGACAATGTCTGTGATATGTGGGGCAAGGAGGTGGAGCTGGGAGATAAGGAGTGGAGTGGGGATGGGGTCAAGGGAGCAGGTGGTGGGTTTCAGGGATAGGATGAGTTTGGTGACAGAGGGTGGGGAAACGGGTACGAAAGTGTGTAGGGGAGGATGGGTAGGAGTCGGAGTGTGGGAGGGAAGGGGTGGGTGGTGGGTGGATGTTGGAGGGGAAGTGACCGCGGAGCGAATTCCCTTGATTTTGGATTCAAGGAAATCCAGCATCTCCTCGCAGTGAAGGTTGGAGGAGATGACCTGCGCGGGGTGGCGGGGGGGACGGAGGAGTCGGGATGTGGTAGAAAACAGTAGCCTGGGGTTGTCCTTCGCCTCCAGGATTATCCTGGAGTAGAAGGACGACTTGGCCGAGGCTAGAGTGGAGCGGTAGATTTTGAGGAGGTCCAGCCAGATTTGTCGGTGGACCGTTAGGCCAGATTTGACACAGGTGCGTTCAGCGGCCCACACCTGGCTCTTCAGTGAGCGGAGGTGGGTGGTGAACCAGGGGAGGAGCGAGAGTAGGAGACAGTACGGGAGGTGATGGGGGCAAGAGTATCGAGTGTGGAGGAGAGGGTGTTGTGGAGGAGGGTGAGAGCAGAAGAGGGGTCAGTGAGGGTTGAAGGCCAGAGGGAGAGGAGTTCAGAGGACTCCAAGGCAGTGGTTAGGGATTGAGGGGGTAACTTCTTCCATGGGCGGTAGAAGATGGTGGTGGGTCTGGTGGAGGTGGGGAGGGGGGTGGAGGTGGTGAAGGAGATGAAGTGGTGGTCGGAGATGGCCTTGTCGGTGATAGTGACATCCGAGACACTGAGGCCCCGGGTGATCACCAAGTCAAGTGGTGCTGCTTCACGTCCCCCGCCCCACCTTGGGGGTGAACCTTCAGCCTCTCTGCCCCCACCCTCTTGAACTCCATCCCACAGTCCCCCCACCTCTCCCCCTCCCTTGCCTCTTTCAAGACCCGTTTCAAGACCATCCTCTTCGACCGTTCCTTCAGTCACCCTTCTACCCCTACCCTCCTCGCCCTCCACCCCCTCCTGATCCCACACCAGCTCAGGTGAGGATCCCAGACTGTCCAGTGCCTTCGGACGTCCTCCTGACTTGAAAAGCGTGTGATTTGGTGTTATTTGGTGTTATTTGTTGTTGTTGCTGCTCCCACCCTCCCTCCTGACCATCCTTTCAAGGCACGTCAGAAAAACGAACCATTTTGATCGCAGTTTCAACCTTTTTTTTTATTTTGGGCAACGAGAAACCAAGTTTCCTTACTCCACACACACACACACACACTCTGTTTATCAGCAGTAAGTAGGACCCCGGTTGTTAGTCGATTGTCGGATCGCTTTTCCGGGGATAATAATAACTTGAAAAAAATAATAATTTGGTCACTTAATCCACAACTGTTTGTGGGGACACTGCTTTACGCAATTGGCTGCCGCGTTTCACCCACAAAATACAGTCACTACACTTTACAGTATGTTCCGTGAAGCACTTTGGGACGTCTTAACAACCACAAATGAATTGCTCTCCCTGGCTTCCCTCCATTACACGATGCCCTCTCCTCTCTTTATCAAAGACGCTTTACCAAATGCAAAGATCAGTGACTATTTTTTGGGAGGTGAAACGCAGCGCCAATTGTGCACATCAGTGTCTCAACAACAACAACAACCTGGATTGATATAGTGCCCTCCACACAGGACGGCGTCTCAGAGCTTTACAGTAACGGATCCCGGGGCCGGGCCAGAGGGAGGGGGAGGAGCCGGGGGGAGGGGGAGGAAGATGACCAAAGGTGCGGTCGAAAAAAAAGGTCTTCAGCTGAGACCTGAAAATAGGAAGAGAGGGGACGAGGGGAAGGGAGTGGGGAAGGGAGTTCCAGAACCTCGGGGCACAGTGGCTGAAGACACAGACGCCGATGGTGGAGTGGAGGACTCGGGGGACGAGGAGGAGGCCAAACCGGAGGAACGAAGGCAACGGGTACTGCTATGAGGAGAGAGGAGGTCAGAGAGGTCGGGGGGTGAAGCGGATCCTCTCTGGGACAGGCAGCCAGTGCAGTCTGGCAAGGTCTCACAAGCAGTCGTGGATTAAAGTGACCAAATTATTATTTATTCGAATATATTCCATTTGCATATTCCAGTCGAGAGCTAATATTCTCTTTCTCTCTTCTCTCACTCTCTCTTTTTCCCTCTCTCGCTCTCTGTCTGTCTCTCTCTCTCTCTATCACCAAAGATCTCCGGGCTTTTCCGAGCGACAGCCTTACAGCACCATTGTGTCCTACCACACGTTACACGAGGAGCGGGGGAGAGTGCCCGAGCTGCAGACCTCCATTGCGGAGTCCTGGAAACCCGGATTCATCTCCTCGCAGAAGGAAGCCTGGGCTGGGATCCTGGAACAGCGGCCCTTGGAGGCCGGACCCTTGGCCAACCCAGGCGAGCCAGAGGCCGGAGCCGGGAGGCTGGGAGAGGAGAGGGTGCGTGTGCGCTCGCTCAGACAGCAGTACTTGTCCCTGGGAGACAGTGAGAGTCCACTGGGTTCCTCCGCAGAAGACATCGCTCGTGTCCGTCACAGCAGCGACCAGAGGGACAGCTGGATCACCCTAGAGGAAGGCGAGGTGGATTCGAGCGAGGAGGTGAGAGCCTAAACCTGCTCCTTTCTGGACAGGAATATATCTATATATATAAAAGTATTGCCTTTAAGGATGAGTTCGCGGCTGGACTCGAGACAGACCAGTAGAACCAGAGGACACGGCCTGCGATTGAAGTGGGGGGTAAATTCAGAAGAAATCTGGGGTAACACTACTTCAGTGAGCGAGCGGTAAATGTGTGGAACAGAACAGGTTCCCGAGGGAGGGAGGGAGGGAGGGAGGGAGGGAGGGAGACGGTGGAAGCAGAAAGTGGTGATTTTTTCTCAAACAGATTAGATCCACCTGTTATTATTTCTGTTAAGAAATAATATCTGGCGATAATACAGTACATAGTTTGGGACACGACATGTCAAGCGACTGCCAGAGTGGTGGAAGGCGAACTGGATGGACCTCGGACTTCTTTTTTTCAGCAAATGTTTACATTCTTATGTCTCGCAACAACTCGCAAGTCTTCCACAATTCTACCAGGGCTTATAATAATAATAATAATAATAATAATAATAATAATAATAATAATAATAATAATAATAATAATCCTTGCATTTGATATAGCGCTTTTCACGTCGGGAGGACGTCCCAAAGCGCTTCACAGAACACACTGTAAAGTGAATTGACTGTATATTTGTGGGCGAAGGCGGCAGCCAATTGCGCACAGCAATGTCCCACAAACAGTCATAGATTGAAAATGACCAATTTATTATTGTTTTTGGTTTTGGAGGGATTATTATTAGGCTCTGTGTGGAGTAAGGAAACTTGCCCGAGGTTTGGCCCTCTGCCGGGGATTGAACTCAGGTCTCTCACTTGCAAAGCGAGTGCTCTAACCACTGAGCTACCGGACTCCACAATATTATATTCACTCCACTTATATTCCTGAGACAAACTTGTTCTGTATTCCCTGGAGCTTAGAAGGTTGAGGGCTGATCTGATTGAGGGGTTAATAATAAATAATAAAGGGATTCAATAGATACAGAGAAACTATTTCCTCTGGTGGGTGGGAGAATTTAGCACAAGTGGGACATCATCTTAAAGCCACTTAGGAGTGAAATCAGGGGCAGCTTTTCAGCCAAAGGGTTAGTGGGAATCTGTTACTCTCTCTCTCTCCCCCAAAAGGCTGTGGATTATGTTTGGATCCATTCACATTGTCCAGACTGAGGTGGAGAGATGTTTGTTTCAGGGGATCAAGGGATATGGGGCAAAGGCGGGGAATTGGAGTTGAGGTACAGGTCAGCCATGATTTAATAGGATGGTGGAATAGGCTCAAGGGGCTGAATGGCCTCCTCCTGTTCCTGTCTGTCTCTGGCTGAGATTGGGTGGAATTTCTTGCTCAGAGATGCAGCCGTCCATACACTCAGTTGGTCTGTCAGGGTTCGGACATTGTGTATAATCAAAATTGTTGTTACTGATGCAAGATTTCTGTCTCACTGACCTTCACGTGAGTTTAAATAACTTTCCAACAAGGTTCTGCTTGGTGCCCGAAGGCACGCACGCACGCACGCACGCACGCACGCACGCACGCACGCACGCACAGACAGACAGACAGACAGACAGACAGACAGACAGACAGACAGACAGACAGACAGACAGACAGACAGACAGACAGACAGACAGACAGACAGACAGACAGACAGACAGACAGACAGACAGACAGACAGACAGACAGACAGACAGACAGACAGACAGACAGACAGACAGACAGACAGACAGACAGACAGACAGACAGACAGACAGACAGACAGACAGGACAGACAGACAGACAGACAGACAGACAGACAGACAGACAGACAGACAGACAGACAGACAGACAGACAGACAGACAGACAGACAGACAGACAGACAGACAGACAGACAGACAGACAGACAGACAGACAGACAGACAATCCCTCCGCCTCACCCCCTCCATTCCTCCCCTTCAAATCGTGGCTAAAGACCTTCCTTTCTGATGGTGCTTACGGTCACCTCCCCCCCCCCCCTCTCCCCCGGCTCGGGGTCAGACTCCTTCACTGTCAAGCGCTCTGGGAAGCTAACCTGCGTGAAGGGCGCTGTGTAAGTTGTTGTTGTTGACTCAGGGCTCATTAGTGAAGAGCTGGTTAATAATGATAATAATCCTGGCATTTGATACAGTACCTTATCATGTCGTTGAGATGCTTCACAGGATATACTGTAAAGTGAATTGACTGTTTTGTTTTGTGGGCGGAACAAAGCCAAATGTTAGTGGCTGAGTGTGGTTAGTGACCGCGGCTGGTTAGTGGCGGAGACTGGTTTGGGGGTGTCTCTGCGCTGTGTAACCCAGTCTGACATTAATAGCTTGAGCTGCCGCAAGTTCTCAGCCTCTGGAGCCAAATCAGGAATAGCAGAGCTGAAGGGCAACAGCAGCAGAAACCTGAGCAGAGCTCTGTCCTGTCCTGTCCACTGCAGAGAATCTCCAAATAAAGCCACAGCCTGGCGTGTTCGTGAGCCCTCCCTCCCCTCGATTCTCCGCTCTCCAAAGCCACCGCCAATCGGTGGGAAGCTGATGCATCCTGTAGCTCAGTGGTTAGAGCACTCGTCTCGCATGGGATAGGACCCGGGTTCGATTCCCGGGTGGACCTTCGGCAAGTTTCCTTATTCCACACGCTAGCAGTAAGTAAGAATCTGGTTGTTAGTCGATTGGCGGATCACTTTTCCAGGGGTAATAATGCCTTCCAAAAAAAAAAAATAATAATAAGAATTTGGTCACTTCAATCCAGACTGTTGTGTGCAATTAGCTGCCACATTTCACCAAAACATACAGTCAATTCACTGTACAGTGTATCCTATGAAGCACTTTGAGACATCTCAAAGACGTGATAAGGCTCTGGATTATTATTATTATTATTAGGGGGATGAGGAAACAGGAACTTCCTGACGAGAGAGAGAGAGACTGCAGACACATGTAAACGCACACCAGAATTTCAGCTCATAAAAGTTTTATACACAGAGAGAGAAAGAGAGAGCTGTACTCTCATATAATACACAGCTGCAACTAGTCAGGTTATAGTCAGGTTTGTCTGTGTATTAGTGTAATGATAATAATAATTCTTATAATAACAATTCTTGCATTTGATATAGTGCCTTATCACGTGTTCGAGATGTCTCAGAGCGCTTCACAGAATGTATTGTAAAGTGTAGTGACTGTGTGTTTTGTGGGCGAAACGCGGCGGCCAATTGTGCACACTTGTGGATTGAACAATTTTTCTTTTTGGAGGGATTACTACCCCTGGAAAGCGATCCGCCAATCGACTAACAAGCGGGTTCCTACTCACTGCTGGTAAACAGAGGCGGGTGTGTGGAGTAAGGGAACTTCCCTCAGGTTTTTCCCCGATCTGACTTGCCCAGGAATCGAACCCAACCATATATATAAATGGGTGTGTTGTGAAATAGAATGTCTCGAAAGTTCTGGACAAATACAGTACGTGTCGGGTGGGGGTGTGGGGTGGTGGTGGTGGGGGGGGGGAATGATGGGGTTCAAGGCATGTCAAGCCCATTGGGGTTGACTGAACCCACAACGCTGTGACCCACAGCTAGAGGTGACACAGTCAGCCCAGCTGGCATTGTCCATGACGCCACGTGAGAGGGTGTAAATCACTCCTTTATTTTTGCCGCCCAGATTATTTTTGCTTCAAACGACTGTTGGTTGGATTTGACGGCAGTGCAGGAGTTATGTGCCGGGATCATATCATATATCTTAGGCAGGAGGCAATGGTGGGGAGAGAGAGAGAGAGAGAGAGAGGAGGACATTCCCTACGTGCTGACGAGGGATTTAGTGCAAAGGAAAAAGCTGAGCTGCGAGGGGAAGCTGCTAAATTTACCCGTTAGAGGGTTGGCTGATTTGTCAGTCGCTCACAATCCCAGTCGCCATGCAGAGCGAGGAGAATGCTCACCCTGCTCACTGAGACGTTGGTCAGCCTGGTGCTACTTGGCTTTTTCCTGGTCAGCTGTCAGAATGTCCTGCAAATCGTGTCCAACACTGTCCAATTTGTGCTGAAATACGTCCACCAGGAGTTGGACAAGGAGCTGGGCGAGAGCCAGAGCAGCTCAGACGATGAGGAGGTGGTCACTACCCGAGTGGTTCGGCGACGGATCATTGTCAAGGTAGCGCTGGCTGGCGTGTGAGCTCGAGACGGCTTCTGATCAGTGTGTGTGTGTCTGTCACTCGCTGCGCTCACACCCTGCTGTGCGTACGCACACTCGTCCTGATAGATGCGTGTGGGGGCATGTTTACGTGCGCGTGTGTTTGTGAGTGAGTGAGCTGGCTCGCTCGCACGTTTGCATGTGTGTGTGTGTGCGTGAGCCCGGACGGCGCCTGTGGGTGTATATATGTGTGTGTGTGTATATATGTGTGTGTCGATGTGTGTGTGTGATTTGCGGAGTGTTTTAGATCATAATAATCCCGGCATTTGACACAGTGCCTTATCACGTCTTCGAGACGTCTCAAAGCGCTTCACAGGATACACTGTAAAGTGAATTGACTGTGTGTTTTGTGGGCGAAATGCGGCGGCCAATTGCGCACAGCAGTGTCCCCGCAAACAGCCGTGGGTTGAGTGACCACATTAGTATTTTTTATGATGAGCGAGTGTATTGTGTGCTGGTTTCCACACGGACATGCGTGCTGGTTGTGTGCTGGTTTCCACCCAAGTCCGTGTTATGCATGCTTCTGTGTCTGTGTGTATGTCTGTATTTGTGTGTCTGTGTGTGTGGGTGGGCACGGGGGTGCGTGTGTATTTTTGTGTGCACATACACGTTGTGTGTGCCTATTGCTGTGTGTGCATGCGTGTGGTGCGTGGAGTTTTTTGCATTGGCTCACGTAACGTCGTCCAGTCTTCAATTGTGTGACGTGAACAGAATCTCTGAACGTGTTGCAGGTGCGAGGAATCGTGCACACACTCACAACCACACTCACACACACACACACACTCACTCATACACACACTCACAAACACACTCACACAAACTCACACACACTCACTCACACACACTCACAAACACACTCACACAAACACAAACACACACAAACACACACACACTCACACACACTCACAAACACACACACTCGTACACACACACACTCACAAACACACTCATACACACACTCACAAACAAACTCACTTACACACACTCACACATTTACAAACACACACTCAAATACACTCACAAACACACTCACATACTCACACCCACACCCACTCACAAACACACACACACACACTCACTCACAAACACACACACGAACAAACACACTCACACACACACTCTCACACACACACCCACAAACACATACTCACATACACACACATGTGCATACTCACATACATACATACTCACTTACACGCATACACACACACGTACACAGACTGTGCATCTATAGCAACGCAAAGTCACACCGGACAAGACAGGAGATTGTCAACCACAACAGCAACATTTACACAGCTCTCCCTCACACAGGACAGCGTCTCAGAGCGCTTAGCAGTGGGGAGCAGGACACTGAACTGGGGGGGGGGGAGATGGCCACGGTCGAAGAGGAAGACCTTCAGGCGCGATCTGTAGATGGGGAGTGGGGGGGGGGGGTGGCCAGGGGGGGGGGTGGCCGAGGTGAAGGGATTAACAAACTTCTGGTGTGGCCTCAGGTTTAGTGCATGTCCTCGCACTTTCTGTCGGGACAATTATTTTTTATCAACGTTTTCCTGGACCAAAGTTCAGGTCCCAGCTGTCGGACATTTTAAACCATCTGATTGTCTCACGTGGTACAGAGCTCACTCACTCGCTCCCCCGCTGGAGCTCTCTACTCTCACCCCATTCCCCCTCTTTCTCTCGCCCTGTCGTGTCCGTGCTGGGGCTCGCTCCCCCACTGGAGCTCTCTACTCTAACCCCATTCCCTGCTCTCTCTCTCTCTCTCTCTCTCTCTCTCTCTCTCCCCATCATGTCTGTGCTGGGGCTCGCTCCCCCATTGGAGCTCTCTACTCTAACCCTATTCCCTGCTCTCTCTCTCTCTCTCTCCCCATCGTGTCTGTGCTGGGGCTCGCTCCCCCACTGGAGCTCTCTACTCTAACCCTATTCCCTGCTCTCTCTCTCTCTCTCTCTCGCTCTCTCTCCCCATCGTGTCTGTGCTGGGGCTCGCTCCCCCACTGGAGCAAGCTTCACCCAGGAGTCTGATTGAGTGGAGTGATGGTATTTGCCCTCAGGAAGACCAAGGAGAGAGCTAGTTATTGGGAAGCTGTTTGTGTGTTATGTTACTGAGGGATGCGTCATATTGCTGGTATGTCAGGTCAGCATCAGACAGCGTTAAGTGTCTTACACCACAGACTGGAAATAGCCGCTCTCCCCTCGGTCACGGAGAACGGTTTCCCCATATGAAGAAGTAGTGAAGAGGTGGTTATTTTTAGTACCCAGAATGGAATATGTTCAGGCCACTGTTTTTAGGATGAAACCCTCCTGATCTCAGTCCTATTTCTTTCTTTTAAGACTGCAGAGAATTGGTGTAAATTTTCCAACCCCATCTCTTGGCTAAGAGACGTGTAAAGGACAGAGTGACTGAGAGATGTGTGTAGTCAGTGTTTGCGAGACATGCCTAATAATAATAATAATAATCCCGGCATTTGATACAGCACCTCATCACGTCTTCGAGACGTCTCAAAGCGCTTCACAGGATACACTGTAAAGTGTAGTGACTGTGTATTTTGTGGGCGAAACGCAGCAGCCAATTGCACACAGCAGCGTCCCCACAAACAGCCGCGGGTTCAGTGGCCACATTTTTTTTTGAAGGGAAAGCGATCTGCAAATATATGTAGTTAGTGAGTAGTTAGTGAGTCAGAGATGTATGTAGTTAATGAGTCAGTAGTTTGTGAGTGTGTAGTTAGTTAATGAGTAGTTAGTGAGTGTGTAGTAATTTAGTGAGTGAGTAGTTAGTGAGTGTGTAGTTAGTGAGTGAGTAGTAAGTTACTGAGTGAGTAGTTGGTGACTGTAGTTAGTGAGTGTGTAGTTAGTGAGTGTGTAGTTAGTGAGTGAGTAGTCAGTGAATATGTAGTTAGTGAGTGAGTGTGTAGTTAGTGAGTGAGTAGTTAGTGAGTTTAGTTAGTGAGTGTATAATTAGTAAGTGTGTAGTTCATGAGTGAGTAGTTCGTGAGTAGTTAGTGAGTGTGTAGTTAGTGAGTGATAAGATAGTGAGTGTGTAGTTAGTGAGTGTATAATTAGTAAGTGAGTAGTTTGTGAGTAGTTAGTGAGGGTAGATAGTGAGTGTGTAGTTAGTGAGTGTGAGATGTGAGTAGATAGTGAGTGAGAGAGAGAGAGAGAGAGAGGTGCTGTCTGAGCTGACATCTATGTTACGATCCACAGGGCGATGAAGTGAAGAACATTCCACCAGAGTCGGTGACCGAGGAGCAGTTTGAAGATGAACACGGGAATCTGGTGACTAAGAAAGTAAATAATAGCGTTGCAGAGATTCGGGGCGCAATGTTAGAAAGCGCGGCAACCGATGGTGGAACGGATGGCACGAGGGACATGCAGGAGGCCGGAGCCAGTCGTGTGGAGGCAGCGGGTAGTGGGTTGGGGGGTAAAGAGGTCGGAGAGGTAGGGAGGTGCCAGGGCATGAAGTGATTAGAAAACGAATGTAAGGATCTTGAAATTGATCTGTTCGGTGATAGGGAGCCAGTGGGGCCTGGCGAGGGCCGGGGTGATGGGGGGGACGGAGGTTAGTTGTGAGCCATTGGTGGTGCTGAGCTCTGAGGGATACAAGTGACCCCACCTGGAGACTGTGTTCACTTTTGGGTACCGCACCTCAGGAAGGATATATATTGGCTCTGGGGTGCAGCTTAGATTCACCAGAATGAAACCAGGGCTTTAAGGGTTACAGGTTGCGTAAACTTGGTCTGTATACCCTTGGGTTTAGAAGGTGAGGGTAAGGGGTAATTGATTGAGGTGTTTAAAATAATAAAGGAATTCAATAGGGTAGACACAGAGAAACTATTTCCTCTGGTGGGTTGGGGGGGAGTCCAGAACAAGGGGGGCATCATCTTAGAATTAGAGCCAGGCCATTTACGAGTGAAACCAGGAGCAGCTTTTCACCCAAAGGGTTAGTGGGGATCTGGGACTCTCTTTCTCTCTCCCTCCCCCAAAAGCCTGTGAATTATGGTCCAGACTGAGGCATGGACGAAGAGGAAGGTCTTTAGACGGGACGTGAAGGAGGTAAGAGAGGGTGTGAGGGGGAGGGATTGCGGGATAGAGTTCCATAGTGTGAGGGGGGGGGCAAAGATGCTGAATGCCTGAGCGCCAATGGAAGTGCGAGGGACCTGAAGCAGCTGATGTCCGCCGAGCGGACAGACTGATATCAGGTTAGGAGGTCGGAGAGGGAGGAGGCAGTTAGACCATGGCGGGCTTTGACAGTGAGAACAAGGGTTTTGTACTCGATTCTCTGAGGGATGGGGAGCCAGTGAGGCCGGGCAAAGATGGGGGTGACAGGTTCCAGAAGCCTAGTGCGGGAGAGCTCTGAATAATCTGCAGCTTGTGGAGGGAAGAGTTGGGAAGTCCAGTGAGGCAATTGGAATTGAGATACAGATCAGCCATGATCTAGTAGAAAGGTGGAACGGGCTCGATGGGCTGAATGTACTCCTCCTGTTCCTGTGTTGCTAAATTGCCTCTTGTCTCTTTGTACAGGTGATTCGGAAGCTTGTGGGCAGAGTGGCCCCCGGGGATGGGAAGCAGGGGTTTGTGGAGGATCTTCACCACGAGGTGGATATGGAGAGACGGACTGATCCTCTCGTCAAGTACACTGTGCTACAGAGAGATGTCTCAGAAAGCAAGGTAAGCCCTCACACTCTGACGAGACTCTGATCCTGTCTCTACCTCTCTGCTCCACCATTGGTGGTCGTGCTTTCAGCCACTGCCCCCCAAAACTCTGTCCCTCTCTCCTTCAATCCCTCCGCCTCGTCCCCTTCCTCCCCAGCTTCAAATCTCGCCTAAAGACGTTCCTTTTTGATGGTGCTTACGGTCACCTCCCCCCTCCCTCTCCCCTGGCTCGGGGTCAGACTCCACCATTATCAAGCGCTCTGGGATGCTGCCCCACGTGAAGGGCTCTGGGTAAATGCAAGTTGTCGTTGTTGCTCTGACCTTTAGCGAGAATCCAGCTTCGTTATTTCAAACATCCACTTGTTTTAATAACAATAACAACTTGTATTTACACAGCGCCCCCCACACAGGGCAGCGTCACAGCTTAGCAGTGGGGGAGCACCACCCTGAGCTGTGGGGGTGGGGGAGGTGACCGTAGGCACTGGTCGAAGAGGAAGGTCTTCAGGTGCGACCTGAAGATGGAGAAGGAAGGGGAAAGGCAGAGGGATAGAGGGAGAGAGTGCCAGAGTTTCGGGGCACAGTGGCTGAAAGTGCAGCTATCGATGGTGGAACGGAGGGTTTATTATTAATAATAATAATACAGTAAATATTTGATAGAGTACGTAGGGAGAAACTGTTTCCTCTTTCAGGCGGGTGGGTCCGTAACCAGAGGTCACAGATTTAAGATAATTGGCAAAAGAACCAGAGGGGAGTTGAGGAGACATTTTTTTTACCCAGAGAGTTGTTACGGTCTGGAACGCACGGCCTGAAAGGCTGGTGGGAGCAGATTCCATAGTAGGTTTCACAAAGGATAGGTACTTGAAAAAAAAATGTGCAGGGGGATGGGGTAAGAGGGGAGGGTGGGACTGATTGGGTACCTCTTTGGAAGAGCCTGCACAGGCACGATGGGCCGAATGGCCTCCTTCTGTCCTGTAAGATTCCATCATTCTATGAGACACATTGGGTTGTGATGGTACAGCCCGGCACAGCCATTCATCTCACACCATCTGTGTCCCATCCCACTCCTTCACTGCCCTGACAGGCACCGGGTACTACTAAGTTTCTGATTTTTTCCTAACAGATTTCATGTGCGATTTACTAAATGTGCCACTATTATAATAATAATAATCCTGGCATCTGATCACGTCTTCGAGGCGTCTCAAAGCGCTTCACAGAATATACTGTAAAGTACTGTGTATTTTGTGGGCAGTCAATTGCGTACAGCAGCGTCCCACAAACAGTTGTGGGTTGAGTGACCAATTTATTTTTATTATTTTTGGGGGATTTTTACCCCCGGCAAAGCGATCGCCAATCAACTAACAACCGGGTTCCTTAGTTGAGATACATCTCAAAGTGCTTCACAGAATATACTGTAAACTGTAGTGACTGTTTATTTTGTGGACAAAACGTGGCAGTCAATCACACACAGCTGTGTCCCACAAACAGCTGTGGATTGAGTGACCACATTATTATTTTTTATTTTATTTATTTTTGGGAGGGATTATTACCCCCGGAAAAGCAATCTGCCGATTGACTAACAACCAGGTTCCTAGTTACTGCTGGGAAACAGAGGTATGTGTGTGGAGTAAGGAAACTCGCCTAAGGCTTCGCCCTCCCCTGACCCGCCCGGGAATCGAACCCGGGTCCTCTCGCTTGCGAGGCGAGCGCTCTAACCACTGAGCTACAGGACTCATCCATGGTTTGAGTGGAAGTGAGAAGGTTTGAGTATTGGTGTGTGTGTTGGTGACTGTGTGCGTGTTGGTGACTGTGTGTGCGTGTTGGTGACTGTGTGCGTGTGTATGCGTTGGTGACTGTGTGTGCGTTGGTGACTGTGTGTGCGTTGGTGACTGTGTGTGCGTTGGTGACTGTGTGTGCATTGGTGACTGTGTGTGCGTTGGTGACTGTGTGCATTGGTGACTGTGTGTATGTGTTGGTGACTGTGTGTATGTGTTGGTGACTGTGTGTGTGTGTTGGTGACTGTGTGTGTGTGTTGGTGACTGTGTGTGTGTGTTGGTGACTGTGTGTGTGTGTTGGTGACTGTGTGTGTGTGTTGGTGACTGTGTGTGTGTGTTGGTGACTGTTTGTGTTTGTGTGTTGGTGACTGTGTGTATGTGTGTGGGTGACTGAGTGTCCACGACGTTGTATGTTTCTATTACTGTTCATCATCTTGCACCGATCTCCATTGCGCCTCTTGTTCTTCTCACTCTATCTCTTCCAATTCATTCTCTGTGGCTTTGTCTCCGTTGCCCTGCCCGCCCTGCCTGCCCTGCCCTGCCTGCCCTGCCTGCCCTGCCCTGCCCTGCCTGCCTTGCCTTGCCTTGCCCTACCCTGCCCTGCCCGCCCTGCCCTGCCTGCCCTGCCTGCCCTGCCCGCCCTGCCTTGCCTTGCCCTGCCCCCTACCCTCCCGCCCTGCCCTGCCTGCCCTGCCCGCCCCGCCCCTGCCCTGCCCGCCCCGCCCTGCCCTGCCCTGCCCGCCTCTCTGTCTGTGCCTTGCTGTGCTGTGCTGTGCTGTCACTGACTCAGGCAGCAGAGATGGGCAGTGCCTCTTACAGTGATTGGATCCAAGGCCGGATGGGCGCTTATGTTGTGAAGAGAATCAGCTCACAGACCGGAACTCCCGAGCAGTGATTTAGGGCTGAATGTGGAAAGGTAACCTGAGAGGAACTCCAAGAAATGCTCTGAATTCTCCCCACTCAGAAATTTCTTCCAGTTCAAAGCAAATTAGTGACAAGAGGCTTGGAGGCTTTGGAGTAGAGTTAGTGTTCAGGTAATATAATAATAATAATAATCCTTGTGTTTGATACAGCGTCTTCGAGGCATCTCAAAGCGCTTCACAGAATATACTGTAAAGTACTGTGTATTTTGTGGGCAGTCAATTGCGTACAGCAGCGTCCCACAAACAGCCATGGATTGAGTGACCAATTTATTATTATTATTTTTGGGGGTGGAGAGATTTTTACCCCCGGCAAAGCAATCTGCCAATCAACTAACAGCCGGGTTCCTACTTACTGCTGGTTAAACAAAGGCATGTGGAGTAAGGAAACTTGGCCAAGGTTTCGCTGAAAATCGAACCCAGGTCCTCTCGCTTACGAGGCGAGCGCTTTAACCACTGAGCTACAGGACTCCACATGACTGGTACCTGCACTGGTAGGAATTTTTGTGCTGATGGCCATGGCTCCCGTTTGCAAGCTGACTCTCGTTAGCTGCCTATCTCCTGAGCACTAGACTAGGAGGTTCTTTTTTCCTGCCGTCAAGTTCACAGACTGAATAATAATAATAATAATAATGTGGTCACTCAATCCACAACTGTTTGTATGATACTGTATGCATGTGACTGCCACGTTTTGCCCCCAAAATACAGTCAATTCACATAACAGTGTATCCTGTGAAGCTCTTTGAGACATCTTGAAGACGTGATAAGGTGCTGTATCAAATGCGACGATTATTATTATCATTAAGATTACTTCCATTTCCTACAACTCTCTCCAACGCACTTCAAGCCTCTGATATAACGCTTCCTGCTTCTGGCTCGATCTAACAGGATCAGTGGTGGATCATGGCTCTGGGCAGCAATGCTCCAGTGTAGCTCTCTCTCTCTCTCTCTCTCCTTTCTAACTCAGACTTGTTCCTGGCTCCCCACCCAACGGAAAAATCTTTTCAACCTTTCCTCATCTTCTCACACTCTCTCTTTCTCTCTCTCTCTCCCTAGCTCACTCTTTCATTCTCCCTCGTTCCAACACGTGTGTTGGCTGGCTCTCACAGACAGGGCTCTTGTACCAGTGAAATCTTATGTAATAATAATAATAATCCTGGCATTTGATACAGCGTCTTATCACGTCGTTGGGACATCTCCAAAGCGCTTCACAGAATATACTGTAAAGTGAATCGATTGTATATTTTTGTGGATTGAGTTGGGGATTGAGTGATCATAGATTTTTTTGAGGGATTGTTACCTGGAAAAGTGATCCGCCAATCATCTAACAACCAGGTTCCTATTTACTGCTGGTAACCAGAGGTGTGTGTGTGGAGTAAGGAAACTTGTGTGAGATTTTGCTCCTCCCTGGAATCGAACCCGGTCCTCTCGCCTGCGAGCCAAGTGCTCTAACCACTGAGCTATGGGACTTCATTTCATTCAACTATAGCTTTGCTATTTCAGAACCACCTTATAACTCGCTCTTCTAACCAGCGAGTGAATAGATGTTTGCGTTTGAGACAACATATTTGTTGTATTTGTCACGGAAATGTCCAGGATCTCTCTCCCACTGCGGACATCCTCCCGACGTGAAAGGCGCTGCACAAATGTAATTTTGTTGTTGTTGTTGTTATTCACTTTCGAGACGCTGACATGGGCTGCGGTCTGTACCAGACTGCCTGTGAGGTCGGGGTTTGTCACTCCAGCTTCTAGTTGAGCTTCAGAATATTTTTTTTGCCCTTCCGGTTGTCTGACACGTGCGGAAACTCGTCACAGTTGCTTAAGCGTCTCCAAACCTGAGCTGAGAATTCCATGCGTCCCAACTACACATGGAAATCCCCGAGATAGATTGTTGGAATGGAATAGCGCATGCACTCTCTCTCTCTCTCTCCTGGAGAGACGCATCCTGTTTACCTAATTTCAGAAAGAATTAGGCGCAGGTTGGCAAGAGCCAAGGCTTTGGGGGAGCCCACAATGTGTGTTGGAGTCTAACCAGCTAAAACCGCATCATGTGCCATTAATATCATAAGGTATGGGGTGGTGGTGAGGGTTTGGAAGGAGGGGGTGGAAAGATGACTGAAACCCCTCACAGTACGATTCAAATACAAAACCACGGAAACAACAACAACAATGACATTTATACAGCGCCTTTCACGTCAGGAGGACATCCCAAGGCGCTGGACAGTCTGGGTTTTGGATCTGAACTGGGGTTTGGGATCAACAACTTGCATTTACATAACAGTATGAAAACATTCCTTGCATTTGACACAGCGCCTTATCACGTCTTCAAGACGTCTCAAAGCGCTTCACAGGATATGCTGTAAAGTGAATTGACTGTATATTTTGTGGGTGAAACGTGCAGCCAATTGGGCACAGTAGCGTCCCCAGTCGTGGATTGAGTGACCAAATTATTATTATTTATTTATTTTTAGGGCGTTTGTTACCCTAGAAAGTGATCGGTCAATCGACTGACATAGCACCCTCCACGGAGTGACCCCACCCTTTCGATCGCCATCCCTGAGTCTCTTCGCCTCCCTCGCCTCCTTCAAGGCACACCACAAGATCTTCCTTTTTGACCAACTGCACCTTCGGCCACTCTCCTAACGCTGCCCTCCTGATCCCAACCCCCAGCTCAGCTCCAAATCCCTGACTGGCCTGCGCTTTGTGACATCCTCCTGACATGAAAGGGGCCGTGTGTGTAAATGTCATGAGTTGTTGTTGTTTAGCATCTGGATTAGCGGGGAAAGCTCAAAGCAGTAAGAAACACCTGGGCTCAGGGAGTCTAACAGATACATCAGGGTTGCAGTGTGCAGGGGTTCAGAGGAGAGACCGGGGGAGTGAGAGACTGATTGGGCAGCTCTTCCAAAGAGCCAGCACAGGCACGATGGGGTGAATGGCCTCCTTCTGTGCAGTAAGATTCTATGATCCATTAAACAGCGTTTTTTTCTGGTTTCTTTACAGGGCCCCATGTCCACATCCGGCCGTGACAGAGGGAGAGAGGAGATGCCGATGGGGAGCAAGACTGTGACAGACGGAAACAGACTTTTGCACTAGGCTGCAGGCATGAAATTGTATAAGATACTTTATCAAGTTAGCATGACCGACTGCCAACGCATGAACTCTATTATAATGCCTAAGGGACTCTACGAACAACCTCCGGGACGTGCATCCGGGAGGCACGAAGATTTCCCCCCCTCCTCTCCCCCCCCCCTCTCCCCCCCCACGGCTGTGTGAAAAACAGCAATATCACACTCACACACCGAGATCACACACACTGAGACACACAGACTCGCACACAATCACTGAGACACACACAAACATATACACACGCGCGCACACTCAAAGACACATTCACACACACACATTTTCACACTCACTCACACAAAAAAAATTCAGCCGCTTCCTCTGCAGACTTTTAATTGGGTTTTGAACTCGCTATCTTGGGACTTTTTATGACCGTTGTCTGTGTGTCTTGGCTGTGTGTACGACTAACTTAATACTATGCAACACAACATGCAGTGCACTGCGATATGTTAAGAGTCTATCAAGATAAACGCTGCCGGTTTGAGGAGTGGGGGGGGAGAGAGGGTGGGGTTGGGGGGGGGAACAGGAGACGAGACCATCGCAGCTGTCCATCAGGCAAATTAACCGCACATCAAATGCTTTTTTTAAGAGAAGAGGGAGCCCTGTTAACCCTTCGAGCGAGTCCTTTATCGTTCAACCTTCATCCTACACCTTAGGCTGTCTAATATAGCAACAGGAGGCCATACAGCCCCTTGAGCCTGTTCCACCATTCTCTAATATCTCGGTTGATCTGTACCTCAACTCCAATTCCCCGCCTTTGCCCAATAATCCCTTGATCCCCAGAACCTCACAAACATCCATCCACCTTAGTCTGGACAATGTGAATAAATCCAGCCATAATCCACAGCCATTTGGGGGAGAGAGAGAGAGAGAATTCCAGGTTCCCACTTTGATGTTCCACCATTCTATTAGCTCACGACTGACCTGTATCTTAACTCCAAATAACTAACCTTAACTTATTAATAATAGTAATAATTCTAAACCTCTTCCCATCCAATCCCATTCCCCTCCCCCCCAAAACACTGCTCCAGAACCACTTCCTATTCCTCCCCAACACGTAAACCAAAAATTCCCAATTATATACCAGGCTCCCCCTCGCTCCCGCACCACACCCCCCACTCCCCCCCCACCAGGGCCAACAGAGGTTAGAATTATGGGTGAAATTTACGCTGTTTCCTATTAATCCCGGGGCAGGGCAAAGCCTAATAATTTGGTCACACAATCTATGACTGGGACATTGCTCTGCGCACTTGTCTGCTGTGTTTCGTCCCGTTAGAATGATTAATTCAAGTAACTAATTACTTTAAAGTGGATTCCTTTTAGTTCAGTGGTTAGAGCACCCACCTCGCAAGCAAGGGACCTGGTCAGGGCAAAACTTGGGCAAGTTTCCTTACTCCACACGTCTCTGTTTACCAGCAGTAAGTAGGAACCCGGATCACTTAGCCTGGGTAATAATCCCTTAAAAAAATAAGCATTTGGTCACTCAATCCACGACTATTTGTGGGAGGGACACAAAGTGTACAGTCACTCCACTTTATAATATATTCTGTGAAGCGCTTTGAGATGTTGCAATGTTGTGATCAGGTGCTACATCAAATGTAAAGATTATTGTTGTTATTAATACA